ACTACTCCCAAGCTTTCCGAAAAGATGTCTTTAGCAGATAGCATTCGCAACGGATGGGCCTTGTGTTCTCCAACAACCTTTGGCAGTTGTGACCCTATCAAGCGGAAGGGCCATAGGTGTCCGTTTGGGTTCACTCTGACGGAACATGTAGATGGATACCACTCGTTTTTGTTTAGTCCCACTCATTCAGTGGAATCCGCACCGACCAGGCTTTTGAATGGTCAAATGATTCCCGAAATGTTTGTTGAAGTATCCCCTTACCGAAGGTCACTGAACAAACTCATTTGACAGCCATTGGGTTCCTGGGCCGCTCACTGCAAGATATCCGCTTCCACAGCTCTGGCTCGACAGTGTGGCTCCTGTCTGTGTGTAACGGAAGCCATCATTTCGGAGGTAGAACGGTTCAAGGTTGAATGTAAGGGTAACCAAAGTGATATCAACAATTTCAGGGCTCCATAGCATAGCCGAGTTTGAGACGAAACCGCCTAGTTGTATTACTCACTGTGGTGGTGCTCGATGACCCATTTTAGTGTCCTTTCATCTAGAGGGAATCATGGAGCTCTTCTAATTCCATGGTCTCATGCTGTGAAGGATGTCAACTTCTGTGAGAAACTGCGCAAGCCATCATTGGCAATTCGCAAGCTGTGTGCGATCTTCCAAAGACATTCAGCTCCAAATGAGCAATCATGACACATCTCTAATTGGAGTGGGTCAACCATCACCAACTTAATCCATGCAAGACTAACTGTTTGTTTCATCGCGACTCGCTGCGATGTCCTGGCTCCGTGGTGGGGCGCAGGAGTACGCTGGGCCAGTCCGAAGTATAGCGAACAGAGGCGTCTGTTTTGCATTTCAAAACATGTTGGACTTGTAGCCTCATTCTTGGGAAACAAATTCTGGCCTTTTCTCTCACACACACGCGCATCACACACACACACACACCACACACCACGCGCTACCCACCGCACACCTCGACCCACGCGATACTCACCACACACCTCGACCCACGCAACGCACACCACACACACACACACACCCGCACGACAACGCATACGCACCTGCGCACATGCACGTACCCACGCACCCACACAGGCATCCGCCCGCCCCTCCCACCCACCCAGCCCGACCCCCACCTCAATGCACCCCTCACCCATGCAGGCACACACGCAAGCACACGCCGACCAACCCATGTATGCACACGCACGCGCGCACGCGCACAGACACCTACGCAAAACGCACACGCACGAGGCATGTACACAGGCCCCCCCCCCCACACACGCACACACATGCACTTTCAGGGCTGCCCGATACTTGGACCTTGGCATTTAGCAAGAGCAGCGGGTGAACTTCATGGACCTGGTTCTGGCACTACCCGCAAGCACAAGGCAAGCCAAGTGCGCCTTGCATTCGCTTGAGTCTTGAGCGTTCTTTGCTCCGTTCGCTGGGTGTGAGAAGCTGCAGCCACTCGCCTGGAACCAAATTTACCAAACTGCTGGAGCACGCACATGCGCAGTCATTCCCTGACTAATTATCCCCTGGCCATTCCCCGGCCATTCCTGCCACCGGACATGAGACATGTCACGCTCTGAGGGGCTTCAAGTTGGCGTTAAGTGATGCTGGCAATGGCTACGTCACATATCCATTGTTGGAATGCTGGTGGCGCGGCCAGCCGGCCAGGTTTCCGAAACTTGTCAGGATCTCTTTTTTGGCGGGTTGGCTGCGGCACACCTTGGACCTAGCTCCAGTGCTCCCAGGTTGCTCATGTCAACATTTTTCTGTTCGATAGGAATCTTGAAGGTCTCTCGGAAAAGAGCATCATCATGCAGTTCACAGTGGTCGCGACGCTTGCCCCGGACGAACGCCTTGAGAAGCAGAGGCAGAATGTCTAGCGTGTAGAAGTCTCGGCTTTCAATGGCAACCATCACTCTCAGACTCAGATGCCGTCCAACTCTGTTTCTCTCAACTCCTCCCTGGGCCTTGACTTTGTTCCCAACATGTTGCACATAACTCCATAACAGTATATGCATATGCCCACAACTTTTGGCCCACGACCCAGAGACACTTCCGCAGGAGTGGAACAGCCAGTTCCGCGACACCTTAAGCCGCGCTGCCAGCTCCGTTCAGCGCTTCGCTGAGCAGGATCCGACCGATGACCGGATGGGTGGGCTGGAAACCAATGTGGTCAGAGGAGTGTCTCGTTCGCTGAAGTTCTGTTGTGCTACTTGACCCAATTTTGCTGACCCAGAAGGACAAGATACAGGGACATCTGGATTTCTGCTTTGTGCTCTATTATTGGCAACAATTGTGATAGGTGAGTGTGAGTGCATGTATGGTTGCGTGTGTGTTGAGTGTACGTTGGTTGGGTTGGTTGATAGTCGTCAATCTAAAAGGAAAACCATGGCGGATATTGTTTGGGACGGGACCCTTGCAAACATTGGGGCTTATGTCGGTCAAACAGAGCAACCAAGAAACAGCGAGAGTTGGTTGGGCAAAGATGGTTTGAGTTGCCAGGCATTTGCACAAACCAAAAGGGTAACGTAAGATGAAGGCCACAAAAACATGCTTGGGGTGGAAAAGCAGGGTCCCGGTTATTTATGGATTTCCTGTAGAAAGGGTCCTATTTGGCACAGTGGCAAGTGGAATGAAATTGCCAGTCATGATCGAAACTTGTGGGTGGAATGACAGCAGGGTTCAAAAGGAGTTGCAGGTTCGGACGTTTGGCGTGGGTTTTGTCTTCTGACTTTGTGCACGTTGTGGGAATACAAACGGATCCCCTCAAAGAGGGCTTCACGCGCGAGGTCGAGGACCCAAGGAACTCGCCCGATAGAACGGCGGAAAACAAAGCATGGCTTCTAGCACAACGTGACGGTAGACCAGTTGGGCTTTGGGCTTTGGGGGATATCAAATCCAGTTTGGGGGGGAGAAATTGGAAGGTGACACGCGGCTACCATTAAGGACACTATGACAATGGTCCACCCTTGCCGGAGTTCCCAAAGCATGAAGACGGATGCCTGTTAAGGGCGCCATCACCACAACCCGGATAATATAAAGGGAACACAAATAAACAGCATACTAGATTCAATCCAGACCCTTCCGATCAGAATGCGTCGACATGGTTCGATTTGTACCTTCGAGTGGGAGGGTCGCGGAGACCTCAGGTTTTCCTCCTTTCACTTCCCAAGTCGGGAAAGCTACTTTGGCAAGAATGTTCACTCTGCCCAATCCGAGCAAGTGCGTCCTTGTGGGTGGACAAGCTCCTGCACCAGGTGGAGAAAGCTGCGAAATGGATCTCCACAGATTTTCGGCCGACTCCAATGGACCATGGATCCGTCCGGTCGGCCTTTTGGGGCGCAGGCGGAGCTACAGCACCTGGGGGAGCAGTTCCTGGCTTCAGCACAGACCTTGGCGGAGCAGAGTGAGGCCAAACGACCCAAAGGAACCATCGGGGGTGTCAATGCTTGTGTTTTGTTTTTTCGTCCCCCGAAATGGGTCTGCCTCAACAGGTCCAGTGTGCTTGCTTGTTGGAGGGTACCTTTTTTGGGGTGGGTTGAAATGGGATTCAAAGGGAAACCACGCAGTTGCTGTTTTTGTTTCGAGATTGTTGGCCAGGACTTGGGCAGATTTGCATGGCTCTCGGGGTCAGCATGTATTTTTGGGGGGACATGACCCGCGACTTTGGACACACTAGTCGCTTTAAGCGGTTGGATGTCGACAGCTTCTCAAGGGACCCAGTTCGGGTGCTACTGTAAAATCGGCCCGCACGGCCATGGTACCCAGAAAACCATCGAACGGGTGTCTCTGACGCGGCATGTGGGCAGCGCCCAAGAGCCTTGGCACATTGACAACCGGTTGATTGTTGCTTCCCAAGGAGCCATCATAGCGAGGGCCGCTTTTTTCCTTTGGATAGCGATCTTACTAGAGCAAAACATCAATGGGCTTTGGGTGCTGCTTATTTGGGTGTTTCCTAGATTGAGGCATTCACTTGTGTTAGGGTGGTTGCCTGTGTTCTCGTCAGACAGAACATGATTCAAGATTACGACATCCAGTTGTTGTTCCATGAAACAAACGGTTTGTTTGGAATCCCGAAAGTGGGTGGTTTCCGGCCAGGCAGCATTGAGCAATGTGGCGGACAAGGCCGAGGGAGCCGCTGCCGATCCCCGAAACGCGTGTCCTGTTCGGGGCCTACTCCCTTTTTGTTGGGGGTAAAGGGAGTTTCGAACCAAATTGTGAGGGGTAGATGTCCATTCTGTCCGTTCCGTTTTCCTGTTTCCAACCAACGCAGGTCCCTGGCAATTTTAGGTCACCCTCATGTTTGCTGCATTGGTAGCGAGATCATTTAAGGGTACGATTCGAGGGTATAACAGAGCTTACCCATGATGCGACCTCCTGAGGAAATTCTTGATTTAGGCAGGTGAATCAATTCCAGGGTTTGTCCGCCATTCTTTTCACCCATCGTTCTTTTGAAAAGAAGGGAGAGGCATAGCTAGAGTCTGGAGTTAGAGTCATCAGCCCTGTTTCAATTTCGGACAGGTCACCGGCGGCGTTTCCTCTTTGGGCCTGACATCGGAGGCTTGGCCCTGGCGAATTTGGATCGAAGGCAGTCCTAATAGCCGCAGTCACCCGGGTAAGTGAAGCTGAGGGGACGGTCCAGAAAACTGGTGCAGCCATCGGTTGCCCTTCCTTTCTCTTGGTTTTGGGTCTCTCGTGATACCACGTTGGATTGTGACTCACCTTGGCGTAGTGAAGGATTTGCTCCCCCCCTCCCTGGAAGTTGTGGATAAGGATTGGCCAACCGCCAACCCTCCATATTGAGCCGCCCAGCTTATGACACGGATTGACTCACAGAAGTCTCAAGTTTCTTTGCATCCTCAACACACCTATTAATATGTCGATGCTTTCTGAACTTGGTACCCCCTTCCATTTTGGCCGGGTTTGAAGAGAGACACTGGTGAAACCTACGGGGAGAGTTTCGTTTTGCTGGGTTGTTCACACTCAATGATTATTGTTGGTGTCTCACAACGGATTCCAAGATAAGATTAGAGATCCAGGCCATTTCGAGCCCCCGTTTGGCAAGCAAAGATCGTTTCAGCACCCGGCGTTTGAGGATTCGCCGAAGAGATCTGGAGACCTGGACGCCTCCTCAGGCTCTGAAGTCTTCATGGTGGGTATCAACCCGTTGGCACTCATGCAAATGTGTCATGATTTTAGGTTCTGAATTAGCCACGTGAGGTGTTTTGTTTTGGGGGGTACTATGGGTACCTTCTTTCTTTAGGGGTGGCTTTCTACACCTTATTACAGGTGTAAGTGCCCCTTTTGGCCGGGGCAATGTGGACTGCGTTTTTTGTGTGCCAGGAAAGTGGCATGAGGGCCTAAAGAAGTACTTTCATGGTTCTATGATCATGCGTATATGTGTATGTTATATATATATATATATATACATAGTTTGGTTTCATAGTACCCCACAGCCTCCAAGCTCGCCCCAATTCTGGCTTCTCGCCATGGCAATTGTTGCGCTGAGGCCCAGCGCTTCGTCCGGGAAGCGAAGCAGCTGGAGTCTGCAGGACTCAGTCCCAGAGTCCCTGGACGTTGTATTTGTTTGGGAAGGCCGTTTTAGCGAACAAAAAGCTTGGACCTTTTGTTGGCCAAAGCGAGTCGAATGTTTCCACAACCCAAACTTCGCCACGAGTGGTCCATTTGGCCCAGTGGCTTTGGGATGGAAAGCATCTTGGAGCCGCCGGCGGAACAGTCGCTGAACTGTAAACCAGGCAACAAACCCGTCAAGAAAGGCCCCTAATGGTCACTGGTCGGCTCAGTGTTTCTCCTCATTGCACCAAGTCACTATGTGCAAAGAAAACCAGGCACCCCTTATGTTCCTTTTTGGAACAACACAAACATTGGCACTGGCTTGCTTCTTAAAGAACACCCTACTGGAAAATAATGAAGCATTTGGCAGGGTCCAGCCATGTGCATTTTGTGTTGCCAACCGCATCAGGAGGCACTCGCCTCATGGTGGCAGAGGTGGCGGAGGTGCTGCACACTTGGCAGGCGCAGGGGCTGTGCTCAGTGGCACCCATACCTTTTGCAGTCCACAAGCGACAAAAGTTCGCCGAATGGGGTTGCGCACCAAACCAACTTTCGTTCGTTGAAAGCAGGCAATCATGCAGGCATGCAGGCTAGCCGGAAACGTTTGCCTCCACTTCTTTTTAAGCAACGATAGAGGGAATGAGGCCTCAAGATCAGCTGCTTCCAACTGTGTTCCTGCCCATTTGTGAAGTGGCAATTTTGAAGGCGAGAAGCTTGTGGGGGTCTTCGTTTTGCGTTGGTTCTAGTTTTCACGGAACGTCGAGCAGCGGCTGGGGGACTGGGGGTGAGAAGCTGATGGGATGGCATGCTTAGCACCTGCAAGTGTGCGGTTTGGTCTTTGTCCCTTTCCACTGGTTTCTAAAGCAGCAGAGGGGCAACCAAAACAGCTTCCAAGGAAAAGTTGCCACAGTGACTGTCAATATTTGAGCCAAGCAGACCATTGCGTCGCACGCACCCTCAGGAGCGGTTGAGCGCACCAGGCTGGGGGTGCTTGACCAGGCTTTTTGGTTTTTGAAGTGCACTCAGCTCAACCTGGCTGAGCCTCCAGCTGCAATTTGAGTGGGACCTACCAGAAAAAGAAGAGATCAACTTTTGAGGGGGAAACCCAGTGGTTTCTGTGTGCGTGCCATTTTCATGTTTGTCAGACTCTGCAGAGAGGGCCCCCTGTCATGGGTTTGTGTGAGGCAAGGGCTCCACTTCGGCTTTGAAGGCTTTGCTTCAGAGTCTTGGCAGCACAGATCTCCGGTTTGGGCTCGGTTTGGGGGGAAGCCCTGCCAGTTGATTCCTTTTTGAGTTCAATTTGCTGGGGGGACACGTTTTCCACATTGACCCTTGGTGCAGGAGCCAAGCTTTGCACATTGCCTTGACGGATCTGACGCGCTCACGAGCAGGCAAGGCAGAAGTTTGTCCGATGCACAGGGTTTCTTTTACACCCGTGTTCACCTCCGAGTGACGGACATGTGCACCTGTCAGCTGCTTGTTGAGGGAGCCCTGTGGTGGGGTGATGGCAGAAGGGGAAATATAAGCAGCCAGCTTGTAGGGCCATTATCAACAGTGTTGGATATTTCGACAGCAGCAGACATATCAAGGATGAAAGACTGGCCCTTGGAGTTGGGGCTGACTAGAGCGCATCACAGAATCACAGTCCTAGCCCGCTGCAAGACAAAAGGGGTGCTGGACATGTTGGACTCCGCAAGCCACATGAGCCACATCCAAAACCGGGTAGATGCAGATTCGTAAGGGACAATCCCAACCATAAATAGCTGCGGACGCCTTCTTAATTCTTTACATGGTTCTGGGTAGACCATGTTAATTCCGGGTTTTGATTATGTGGGTGCACAAATCCAGTTCCCACTGGATGAAATCCTAGTACTGGAAGACTCCATGACGATTTCGTCCATCCATTCTATCAAAACCATTTTGCACTGGTTTTGATTGTGACTCACATGGATGTTGGCAGCTCCCTGGAGGCCGAGCAGTGCTGAGCGCGGCGGCGGGTGAGCAGGGAAGGCCCGTGTTGGAGACTGAAGCCGGGAATCACCTGAAGGAGCCTTTCCGACGGGCATTGGATGGGGGAGGGGGAGATGGGGTTGAAGATCCGGTAGTGGGACCTTCGAAAGTTGAACTGGCATTCAAGTGGTTTCTCAGGACCCTTTTGGAGATTGTTCATCCTAAATTGGATGGAAATGTCACAGCACGGGCCTTAACCACGCCAAGAAACTGCAACCCTGTGATTAAAACGTTGGTTACCACGACAATTTCTTATTTTCACCCCACGACAAAAAAAACACCGACACCCCGACAGTCTTCTTTCCTCTTCCCCTAGTCTTCTTTCCTCTTCCCCTAGTCTTCTTTCCTCTTCCCCTAGTCCCCCTAGTCTTCTTTCCTCTTCCCCCAGTCCCCCTAGTCTTCTTTCCTCTTCCCCTAGTCCCCCTAGTCTTCTTTCCTCTTCCCCTAGTCTTCTTTCCTCTTCCCCTAGTCTTCTTTCCTCTTCCCGTAGTCTTAGTCTTCTTTCCTCTTCCCCTAGTCTTCTTTCCTCTTCCCGTAGTCTTAGTCTTCTTTCCTCTTCCCCTAGTCTTCCTTCCTCTTCCCCTAGTCTTCTTTCCGCTTTCCTCTTCCCCTAGTTTTGTTTCCTCTTCCCCTAGTCTTCTTTCCTCTTCCCCTAGTCTTCTTTCCTCTTCCCGTAGTCTTCCCGTAGTCTTCTTTCCTCTTCCCCTGGTTTCTTTCCTCTTCCCCTAGTCTTCTTTCCGCTTTCCTCTTCCCCTAGTCTTCTTTCCTCTTCCCCTAGTTTTCTTTCCTCTTCCCCTAGTCCCCCTAGTCTTCTTTCCTCTTCCCCTAGTCCCCCTAGTCTTCTTTCCTCTTCCCCTAGTCCCCCTAGTCTTCTTTCCTCTTCCCCTAGTCCCCCTAGTCTTCTTTCCTCTTCCCCTAGTCCCCCTAGTCTTTCCTCTTCCCCTAGTCCCCCTAGTCTTCTTTCCTCTTCCCCTAGTCCCCCTAGTCTTCTTTCCTCTTCCCCTAGTCCCCCTAGTCTTCTTTCCTCTTCCCCTAGTCCCCCTAGTCTTCTTTCCTCTTCCCCTATGTCTTCTTTCCTCTTCCCCCGCTAAGTACGTCCGAAACCGCGTCCGTTTCACGAAGGCTGCGGTCGGCTAAGTACGTCCGAAACCGCGTCCGTTTCACGAAGGCTGCGGTCGGGAAGACTACCGGCAGACTACGGGAGACTGACGGGCAGACTACCGGAAGACCACCGCAAGACTACGGGAAGACGAGGCTTTTGGAAGACTATCGGCAGACTACCGGAAGACCACCGGAAGACTACCGGAAGACTACGGGAGACTTCGGGAAGACTACCGCAGACTACCGGAAGACCACCGCAAGACTATGGGAAGACGACGCTTTTGGAAGACTACCGGAAACGGACGTGGTTTTGAGGCTATTAACCCGCTAAGTACGTCCGAAACCGCGTCCGTTTCACGAAGGCTTTGGTCGCGAAGACTACCGGCAGACTACGGGAGACTGACGGGCAGACTACCGGAAGACCACCGCAAGACTACGGGAAGACGAGACTTTTGGAAGACCGCAAGCTACTTCTTTCCTCTTCCCCTAGTCTTCTTTCCTCTTCCCCTAGTCTTCTTTCCTCTTCCCCTAGTCTTCTTTCCTCTTCCCCTAGTCTTCTCTTCCCCTAGTCTTCTTTCCTCTTCCCCTAGTCTTCTTTCCTCTTCCCCTAGTCTTCTTTCCTCTTCCCCTAGTCTTCTTTCCTCTTCCCCTAGTCTTGTTTCCTCTTCCCCTAGTCTTCTTTCCTCTTCCTCGCACAAGCGATTTTTTTGAGCCCAAAAACAGCTTTTTGCTTTCGGGAAGCTGCAGGCTGAGCAAAAGCGATTTTTTGAGCCCAAAAATCGCTTTTTGCTTTCGGGAGGCCCCGGGCAGAGCAAAAGCTTTTTTTTTGAGCCCAAAAATCGCTTTTTGCTTTCGGGGCCCCAGACAGAGCAAAAGCGATTTTTTGATCCCAAAAATCGCTTTTTGCTTTCGGGAGGCCCCAGGCTGAGCAAAAGCGATTTTTTGATCCCAAAAATCGCTTTTTGCTTTCGGGAAGCTGCAGGCTGAGCAAAAGCGATTTTCTGAGCCCAAAAATCGCTTTTTGCTTTCGGGAGGCCCCAGGCTGAGCAAAAAGTGATTTTCGGGCTCAAAAAATCGCTTTTTGCTTTCGGGAAGCTGCAGGCTGAGCAAAACAATTTTTTGAGCCCAAAAATCGCTTTTTGCTTTCGGGAGGCTCCAGGCTGAGCAAAAGCGATTTTTTGAGCCCAAAAATCGCTTTTTGCTTTCGGGAGGCTCCAAAAATCGCTTTTTGCTTTCGGGAGGCCCCCGGCTGAGCAAAAGCGATTTTTGGAGCCAAAAAATCGCTTTTTGCTTTCGGGAGGCCCCAGGCTGAGCAAAAGCGATTTTTTGAGCCCAAAAATCGCTTTTTGCTTTCGGGAGGCCCCAGGCTGAGCAAAACCGATTTGGAGCCCAAAAATCGTTTTTTGCTTTCAGGCTGAGCAAAAGCGATTTTCTGAGCCCAAAAATCGCTTTTTGCTTTCGGGAGGCCCCAGGCTGAGCAAAAGCGATTTTTGGAGCCCAAAAATCGCTTTTTGCTTTCGGGAAGCTGCAGGCTGAGCAAAAGCGATTTTTGGAGCCCAAAAATCGCTTTTGCTTTCGGGAGGCCCCAGGCTGAGCAAAAGCGATTTTTGGCCCAAAAATCGCTTTTTGCTTTCGGAGGCCCCAGGCTGAGCAAAAGCGATTTTTGAGCCCAAAAATCGCTTTTTGCTTTCGGGAGGCCCCAGGCTGAGCAAAAGCGATTTTTTGAGCCCAAAAATCGCTTTTTGCTTTCGGGAGGCCCCAGGCTGAGCAAAAGCGATTTTTTGAGCCGATTTTTTGAGCCCAAAAATCGCTTTTTGCTTTCGGGAGGCCCCAGGCTGAGCAAAAGCGATTTTTGGAGCCCAAAAATCGCTTTTTGCTTTTGGGAGGGGCCCAGGCTGAGCAAAAGCGATTTTTGGAGCCCAAAAATCGCTTTTTGCTTTCGGGAGGCCCCAGGCTGAGCAAAAGCGATTTTTTGAGCCCAAAAATCGCTTTTTGCTTTCGGGAGGCCCCCAGGCTGAGCAATCGGGAGGCCCCAAAGCGATTTCCTGTCGTGGGGTGAAAGAACAAAAATTGTCGGGGGGTGGATGGGTTTCTTGTCGGGGGGTGGGTTTTGGGTTGCTTGTCGGGGTTCGGGCGCGCCCTCGAAATGTCACCCCATGTAAGTGATGTCGGCCATGGTTGCAAGTATCACTTAAGCACGGGACAGATGCCAGACTGAGGGGTGGAAAACATGTTGCCCGTGAAAGGTGTCCTACCCATATCTTTGTGTTGCTTCTTGACCGAAATCATGCGGCCCAATGATCAGGAGGTGATGTTGCGAGCCTGTGCGGTTCCCGCCCCGCTGGTGAAGCATCTCGGATTTGTTTGTGGCGCATGCTGATGTCGAATCGCATGTAAGTCCGCTTGTGTGTGTGTGTGTGTGGGTGTGTTTGTAATCGAGGGCAGCTTTTTCGGGGTGCAAGTTCGAAATGAAAGGGACATGGGAAAACCGGGACTTTCTGGATGGGGGAAGGTCCTTCAAGAACGAACTCGTTAGTAGCCTCAGGACATGCCTACGCACATGTTTTAAGACACATGTAGACAATGCCGCATGTGTGTACGGCATTTGCTTTTCGCGATGTTGAGCGGCCATGGCGTGACAAGGGCATTTTCGGTGGATGAAGGACTCGCCTGCTAAGAAATTCAGGGGCTCAATTTCTTTGCGGCCTTTGGGGTGATGAAGGAATCCTTTGCTAAGAAATTCCCGGGGTCAATTTCTTAGCGGCCTTTTGGGTGGATGAAGGACTCCCCGGCTAAGAAATTCAGGGGCTCGATTGCTTACGGCCTTGTAGCTGGTTTGAAGGACCAGCTTTTCAGGAAGGACCCCCGCAAAGCCGGCTAAGGTGCAAAATAACAGCTTTTGGAGCATCTTGGGAACCCCCCACCCCCCCCCCCCGCCCCCGCCGCTAAGAAATTGAGCCCCCGGATTTCTTGGCGGGCACTTCCCTTGCCCCCGGATTGATCGAACATGCTCTTTGCTTTTGAAGCTGGAGGTTGCTCTAGGGACCGAGTGGTTTTCAAGCAGCTATTGCCATTGCTGGAAAAAGCATTGGTGGCCTTCGGATCGCTGGATTCTGGTTCTAAATGGGCGTTTTTAGAAAAGAAGAACACAATGAGACATGTTGAGGATTCGGGACAAGCCCACATGGGGTTCACCTTGTTGGTTTCTCTGTGGTCTACCTTTAGGCAAGGTATACACTGGCTTTCCCGTGGTATAACAAGGGTGGTTGAGGCTCCCATGGTAGTGTCGGTTGATTCAGCTTGGGTTCCCATTGAGCATATAGAGGCATCACTACATATTTGTGTATGCTGCTCCTTTGGTATGCCTCTTGGCTATCATCACAGGCAGTTGATGTGGGGCATATAGCAAAGGTGCGCCCTCCGCCGTAGTTGACCCACCTCAGACCTCTTTCATGATGATGGAAGGAACAACAAAAGGGAAGCAACCATTTTAGGGGACTTCCATGCCATCTTCAGACGTGTCTTTCGCCATGAAAGGTGGCCCAAACAAGGTTCCAACCATACTCTCCAAAAGCCCGTTCCTGTACAGTCCCGAAATGAGGCAGCCTTGTGCGGCAGTGGTGCCTGTGCTTTCCACTCGGCTTCAGCTCTGAATCAAATTTGGAATGGCTGACGGGTGTCGACGTACTACGGCCAAGCACTGTATCAGAAATCATTGTATAAAACATGAGGGGCTGGGATTGCCAAATCAAGTAGGTTGAAGCTGCGTTTTGCTGCTGAGAAATTGAGCCCCGGCCCTGGATTTCTCCAATTTCTTAGCAAACTTGTGCGATGAAGAACGCCCTTTGTACCTTAGCCAAACGCCTCTCTTTCGCCATGGAGAGCGCCGAGACACGAAAGCAGGGCTTGCTTTTGTGCCCCAGTTTCCACTGGCACCCCCTGTTTCCCTCAGAGCTCCAGTGAATCCAGCGGCGCCCTCTTTTGTTTTTTTTTTAGATCAACCAAGGGGATTGCCCCCTTTCGTCTCATGCCGCTGGAGGTCTGATTTTTGATTCCTCTTTGGCCCGGCCAGTGGGTTCCTTGAATTTGCCACCTCAGCCAACAGGGTGCATAGCCTCGTGGTTTGGCTATCGGAAGCCAAGGGCCTAAAGGGTCAATCGATATAATTTTGCAACCAAATCCAGAAAAGAGGGCCCAGTTTTCCCGTGACCATTGAAGGGCGGCATTTATTCTTGAGGGCTCAAGTAAGGTGGTTCTCGTTGATTTGGAGCATTGTACTCCTTGGCTTCACCGCCTATGTGTTTGAGTCCTTCCTGGGCGGCTGGCTCGCGTCTCAGCGCCAGGTGAGCAAGTGACCAAAATGACTCGTGTTAGGCAAATTACTGACCTGTGTTTGCGAGCAACTGACAGATTATATATTTGTCCAGCGCTAATACAAGCCTGAAAGAGGAATCCCCTGTTTAAAGTCTTCAAGATTGCTTAGCGCCGGCCAGGCCGGTCGGCTCCGGAGGTAGTGTAAAGTGCCAGTTGACCTGTCGAAACAATATATGAAGCACATATATATATATACATTTATAGAGAGGAACACTGCACATAAACCCCTCTGCTGGTGCAAAGCAAGCCATGTACGGAGGGGGTGCCTGACGCCCCGCAAGCAGTTGATGAGTCAAACCGCCTCCAGGTCCTCGGGAAATGCCTTGACGGGCGTCCGGCTGGGGACGCCTGGAGCACCGCTGAGTTCTCCATCCGGCCGCGGGCATTGTCATTCAAGGACATTGGACTGATACTGTGGATGGACGAAATCCTTTTCGCGTCACCTGACAAACCGTAGAATGATGATTCCCCCTGTAAATACCAACAAACAGTGGTTTCCCATGGCTTTAAAGTGGTGCAGGAATTCGTCCATCCACAGAAGCCCCTGATCAGTAAACCGCACCTGCTATTAGGGGGGAGGGGGTTCTCGTTCTAGCGAGAATTCCGTTCTTCCAGGGGACTCCTCTGATTGATTAATTGCAATCAGGGGTCAACATTACCCCTTTTTCCAATAATCACGGAAGCGGACAAGAATGCCGCAAAAGGACAGTAGCTCACCTTTCTGTCAGATTCCATGATTGGAGGGAGGGTAGGGTTTTTTGGCCAATTTGTGCAACCAAAACCAGGGGGACTCACTAAATTTTCGTGCTTCCAGTTGTTCATTGTGAAACATGGGTAATCATTGCCACTTCCCGTGATACCCAGGAAATGCCCTGGAACGTAATAAGCCATAGATTGTGCAATTGTAGCTCTCATATGACAAAAAGGTTATTTAGCACTTGCTGAAGAATCCGAACTTTGGGTCCGATTGCTTTGTAACCTTGGCCTGCTGTATAATACGACATCCTATCACCAGACTGCGTCTTGTGTTCTCAGGTGTGGTTCTATTTGGTTTCCAATTTGAAGGAATGGGGGCCAAAATCGTGGCACCCCAAGAATTGTTGGGTACCCAAAGACAAGCACACCCACGCAGGAGAAGTGGGAACCGAGTACTGAGACACCGGAGATCAATTGCCACTTCCCGGTCTTCGTGTACCGCTGCCCCTCCTGGGCCTCCCTTGACTCCTTTGAGGAGTGTAAGGCAGGGAGGGTCAACTACTCAAACCTTCAGTGATTGTTTCCATTTTTGGAAGGGCGGTTTCCTTTGAAATCAACTACCAAGACCACAACTTTTACCATTTGGAGGTTTGGGACCAATCTAAAGGAAACCGCAGCTTCCGCACTTGACAAGGTAAATAAGACAAGCACCTTGAAGTCAATGTTTGGCGCCCAAACGTGCTCAAGAAAACACTCCCCAAACAAAAGGGCCCAACCCCTAACTTTGCGACAAACTCACCTGCTTGGTTCTTGGTGGCAAATTATACCGACCTCACAAACAAAAATCGGTTTGTGTCCTAGAACCCTGAGATGAAGGTTCCTTTGACCGTACTTCAGTCTAAATTACCCAGACAACCTGGTCGTTTTATTGAACGTGGCGACGCATTTGGGGGACCCGTGCTGAGGGCACAGAATGACTGGATTCCAGGGACCCCGATTTCTGTGAGCCCATGTTTCAAAAACAAGATGAGATAGCCAGGAGGATTCCACAGATTTGCCCATGTTACACCGTGCACGCCAAGAAAAGACAGGGGTGTTCTGCTGGGGCAAGTTGGGATTCTACATGTGGGACACACATCGGTGCGCTTCTGACGTTTGGAATTGCACCACCGGCGCTTGTTCTGGTTACCTTAAGAGCGAGCGCCTTTGTGCTGCAGAGTTGCGGTCTGAAGCCTACGCTTGCTGGTTCGATCCTGTGAATCCAGCAGTGGGAGTACAGACAAGGAGGTACGAGTATTGCACCTGGACGGGGTTGCTTGCTCTGGTGCTTGCAGTTCTGACCACGGTGGCTAGTGCATCATCAACATATTTTGGGAGCAAGTTGGTTCGCGGACTTTCTGAGAGGGGATTCCTTGAGCGCTCTAGGGTGCGAGAGTTCATTTGCGGTCCTATTCCCAAATATGCCTTGCTCATCATTTGCCTGATAGCTCTCATCGTCTTCACCGAAGCAGTTCTCTTCTGCTTGCTGCTGCCGGGCCAGACATACTACAGCATTTGGGGAGCAGCGGAACTTCCGTCCTCTGAGTCGCTCCGGGTCTCCGACCTGCACGGCCTTCATTCGGAAGCGGAAAGCCCCGTGTCCTACGGCTTCAATCAGCCCTCCTTCTTGGCACGAGCTGCGCGCATCAGCGTTCCTCAGCGGGCCAGCAGTGCACCTGTTTAGTTGGAAGGGGTCCACTTTGAAGTCAACCCAAGAGCCAGCGACCTCCAACGACTGCTTTTTCCACAGCAGTCGTTGGGGGAAAGGGGCAAGTCTTTTTTCTCTCCCTTATAGACCGCTGGACAAGTTAGGTGCTGGTGTTCCAGATCTATTTGATGATTGCCCTCCTCGTCGTGAGTATTCTCGTCATTATCAAGTACTCGGCTCGCTCTCGCACGCGGCCCTCGAACGGTGACTATTTGCGCCTGCCACAGTGATAAAAAGAACTTTGGGTGACAGCGGGGTGGTTTTCAATTTCGGGGTATCCATTTGAAGATAAACCCGGCCGTGAATTTTCATGTCTTGAATTCCCTCAGAAATGATTAGAGGGCATAGGGCCCCATGTAGATGATGTCCAGCAAAGTGTCCCCAATCTTTTCCCAGACCCTGGTAATGAACAGCTACTTGGATGACAACGAGGCTCTATTAGAGTCCATCTAAGAACCGGGCTAGGATGTCACAGGAGATCCTTTGTTTTGCTCTTTGTTGGGCCTCCAATATCCACAGGTGGTTCCATTGCAACCCCGCAGTGGGACGCTTGTAGCATGTTACGATGGGAGGTTGTCCATGGCTAAACTAAGATTGAGTCGAAGATAATCCCTTCACACCACTGAATTTCCCTTTTTGAGCTTGGTTGAGTTCTCGTTCAGGAACTCGAGGTATGAAGGAAGTGGACTGTGTCAAAGGCAACCAACACATACCCAAGCACGTGGGAGGAATCCAGGAACAGCCCTTTAAAGATGGCTTGTTTTTCGTGTCGAAAACCCCAAGTGCTGTCCAACAAGCAGCCCAGAAGGGAGGGGGGGACGTGTGACTTCGCACTGAGGCAGCTGTTGACGCTTCTCTCAGAGGCGGCGGAGGAGAAATGCCAGGCCGGGGGTCAGCGTGACCGAGGTTTTGGTAGGAATGGGGTCAACCAGTTGTTGTTGTTTTGATGTGTGTTGCATTCTTTGATATTATTTCTATTCTTTTTTAAAAGAGTCGGAATGCCACTGGCGAGTCAGACTTTTTTTCGTTTCTGCAGGAGTTCCATGTCAGCTCGCTATTGCGTTGTTCAACAAAGGAACAGACTTCCAGGGATCCGCTGGAAGGTCCCTCCGAAATGGGCCCCCAGATGTCCCTTCAAGCCCTAAAAAGGGGTCATGTTCAGTGGCTTCAGGTCGTGGCACGCAGAGAAGAAACGCAGTGGGGTAGCAGGCATGCCGCAATTTTCGGAATGCACGAGGGAAGGAGCATCTTTGGCACTCCATTGGTTCTTCTTGACCAGACTGAGGAAGTGCAGAGCAACACGGTGTTGTTCAACGGTCACATACTTGATTTTGGGAATGGCAAGCGCTTAATAGCTTGTTACTAATCACGCTGCGTCATGCTATCGCCGTGCATGTGGAGGGGGTGCATCGGGTTGCGCATGTCGCTGGGATGGGAGATTCATGCTGACAGGCACGCAGAGATGGGGCAGATGCTGTTCTCCTGCATTCAGCATCTCAGGAGCCCGCGAGGAAATGATTTGCTTGAAACCAGCGGGTCGTGGCGGCTGTGAAGTTAAACCACCTCAACATGTTGTTGGTGTGTGTGTTGTTTGGTGCCAAGAATCGTTAATTACGTCAACTAGTATGGGGTTGCCAGCAGTGCAGGCCACTTTCAATCAATCCTCGGGCTGAGATCCACAACATACTTCCACATTCTAAGCTCCTTTTCCAACTTGATTGCATAGCTGTTTGTGAAAGAAACAATATATAGACTATATAATCACCAGGAGCCAAATTCGTTGGACAGCTGCTTCTGGGCTGATCAGGCCAGCCGCCAGCAGGACATGAACATGTGATATGTATATATATATATAGATGTATATATACAATATATATATATATGTACGTATAAATTAGCAGGTTGGGGCGGACCCAACTTTGCAGATCTACTGGAAGGACAAGACACAGGCACCTCTGGATGTCCAGCTTGAAATTACGGACAACAATTGCGATGTGTGTGTGTGTGTCTGTGTGTGGGTGTGTTCGTTTTTCGAGGCTACCCTTTTCACCTTGGTTTGAAGCCAGCAGGACACCATCATTTTTAGGGCCCCCTATTTTTTTAATGCCGCCGGTGAGTGCAGGATCTGCAATGGATACTGGCTCTTTTTTCCGCTTCTCTTTTGGATGCCTCTGAGGCGGCGGTCATCACAGGGGTCGGGCGTTGGCAAATCTCGCATAGTTTTGCACGACCTTATTTCTCATTTTCAATATTGGAACATGTTTCTTTGGGGGGTCAACAACACCTTTCTGGGTATTGTTTCACCGCCTTCCACTGCCATGCTGCACGCCCAGTAGAAGATGCGGATGGAAGCCACCCGCAAAAATAGAGATGTGTGTTTCCCTGAAAAACAGACAATAATTTTTAGGAACGCCCGACGTGCATTCTCAGGGCACAAGATTCCCAATGGTGTATCTTTGATTTGTTTGCGCCTTTCTCAACGCCGTCAAGAGGAGCTTTCCCACGGATGTGTTTGAGCTTCGGATGCTGTGATGCCCTTTGCGTGGCAAGTTTGCGTTTGTGGTTTCTGCCATCGTTTGGGCGGTATCCCAACATAGGAGGCTCCATTAGGGAACCCACAGCAAGCCAGCCATCTCGATTGAAACACACCGCCCAAAAAGAACACCCCACAGAGACACTGGTCTAAAAGTTGGCGAATAGGTGCCCTCAAAGGCTTAAGTTGCATTGCACCTCACGGTACCCATAGATTCTAGCCAAACAAGATATGTTCGCAAAGGAAACCGAAAAGGAATGGGCAATGATCTTCCTTCATTTTTTCCAGGTCCCTTACACGAGATGCTGGCCCCTGTGGCAATTCCCTGTTTCCGCTTTGCGAATTCTGGAATTTGCCCAGCAAGCTTTCCACAAAGTGCCTGGACTGAGCAGCCCTTGCAGGTGTTGCTTTCTATATTCTCCCACAAGGAGGGTCCAAGGAAGGTCGTTTTGCCCCTCCCTGAGTTCCTGGCCTTTACGCTTTGTGGTCAGACCATGTCACACCATTTTAGTGGCATACAAACACTTTGTTTTTCTTCTGACGTAGCCATTCAGCATGAGGTACCCCCCAGTTGGTGGCTTGGATTGGTGGTTTGTGGATTTGACCCCCCTGGCTGTTGTAGAGCCCTCATTGACCACCACGAATTGGAGGGAAGCTAGCAGGATTTTGTTTTGCAGACCCAACAGCCCTGCGGAAAACCAGCCCTATGAAAACAAAACAGTCCTAGTCCTAGGTGTTTTGTGTTTTTTAGGAAAGAAAGAAGGAAAAGCAAACACACACACACACACACACCGCTACCGCCCCCTTCACCCAGCGTCGCCCAGCGTCAGGTCGGCCCCGACGACGCCGCGGACCTCCGCAGCGTCGAGGCGCTGCTGGCGACATCGGAGGCGCCGAAGGAGGCGGTGGAGACGGTGCCGGCGGCGGGGGACGAGGCCGGGTGGTGCGAATGCGGGGCAAGTCCGCCGAACATGGGGAAAACTGGGTGTGCATCCAGTAGTTTTGTTTGAACCCAAGCCCAGAACCACCTTTCCCAACTTTGCGCACCCAATCATTATATATATATATGTGTATACATGAAGGCACCCAAGGTACAATCCAGCTTAAATCTTGAGGGTACCAACCCCCAACCAACTTTCGCTTCAAATGTCGCTTTGGTCAGCGTTGTTCTTACCGCAACATCCAGCAAAGCCGCCCTTTGAGGGCTTCCTCACTTGAGCCAGAATCAAAGCTTGGGAAGGGGAAGTTTCGGCCGCCTTTTGCGTGGTTTGGGTGGACTTGGACACAAGGTTTTGGAGACAAACCCACCCTGATACTTGGTAAGGTGTCCATTCGGAATTTAGGCTTCCCATAAAAACGGTCCGAGACCCGGGTGCTGTAGCTAGGTGTAGCTGCTCGCGGCTGGGTTTGAAGCGGGGTCTGCATGGGTGTCCGCTTTGAGTCCCGCCGCCCTCATTTTGGGGGCGCACAAACTGGAAACTACGAGGGAAGCCTATCACAGAAAAGCGTAGGCACAAACAAACATCAACACGCAAACACAAACACACACACACACACACACACACACACACACACACACACACACACACACACACACACACACACACACACACACACACACACACACACACACACACACACACACACACACACACACACACACACACACACACACACACACACACACACACACACACACACACACACACACACACACACACACACACACACACACACACACACACACACACACGCACACGCACACGCACACGCACACGCACACGCACACGCACACGCACACGCACACGCACACGCACACGCACACGCACACGCACACGCACACGCACACGCACACGCACACGCACACGCACACGCACACGCACACGCACACGCACACGCACACGCACACGCACACGCACACGCACACGCACACGCACACGCACACGCACACGCACACGCACACGCACACGCACACGCACACGCACACGCACACGCACACGCACACGCACACGCACACGCACACGCACACGCACACGCACACGCACACGCACACGCACACGCACACGCACACGCACACGCACACGCACACGCACACGCACACGCACACGCACACGCACACGCACACACACACACACACACACATTTGCACAAAAATAGCAAAATAAAAAAAGGCGAGTCACACAAACAAAGAACACACAAAATCTCACAAACACCCAGACAAACACGCCAACAGAACATACACCGAGTCGAGCTTCAGGTTTGGGCCTGCTGGCCAGGCGATGGCCGCTGGTTCCGCGCCAAGGCGCACACTCGGTCTGTTTTGAGTGTACCCGCTTTTTGGGGTCCCCTAAACAGGGCTCCTTAAAAGATACATTTTGCCCATTTGAGGCATGGCTTTTTCCACCAAAGTAAAGGGAAACCACCATGTACAAGGCAATGTTCAGGTGTATAATGTAAGGATCCCTGCTAAAAGAGACACCTTGCGTATTGGGATTGGGTCCTTGAGTTATGCCGTTGCATGGCGCCAAGGTTCTTGCCCTTATGGTCGCTGGAGACATGAGTGTGAGTGAAAGACAGGCTTGAGGTCAACCGAGTAGTGTTGTTTGTCTTGCTAAATTCTAGTGGAGGCGAGGTCATGATGCAGCCAGTGGAAGAATAATTACCAAGCTGAGAAGGTCTGGGCTTGTCGATCATTTGTTTGTGATCCCATGGCTGTTTCAATTGTTACCTGCATGAGTCGTTCTCGAAAATATGGTTCTATTTGCTGGCTTGCTTGTTCTTGGCTGCCCTTGGGATTTCTCGCTTCGCTTGCTTGCTTGCTTTGCTCTCTTGGGCAACGCATGCTTTGCCTGCTCGTTCGGTTGTTGAACATTGCAAAGCATGGCCAGATATCCGAAGAGGTTATGCGAGAGGTCGGAAGCGGTCAAATAGCAAGCTCAGTCGTAAAGGCGCAAAAGGTCGCTGAAGGGATGTGCTTACCTTCTTGCTTGCAGTGCCTGCAGTGCTTGCTGGCGTGGGATTCCAATGGGTGCCAGGTCGACTTGTTGGTTCTTGGGCGATCTTGATTCAGACAATTTACTCTTCCGCTCTGGCAGCTGACAGGGAGCCCGCATCTTCAACAAGAAATCGTTTTTTGTGTACCCTCACCCAGGTGTCTTCTGTTGGGAGGAAAGACAACTACAATGCCATCATATATTCCCTTGGCGAATGTTCGAGGTGACTCGAGTCTCGGGCCGAGTGGAGATTGCTTGGCTCCGGCGAGGGTCCGAGGGAACTGGTCAGGCCAGAGGGCCGGGGGAGCAGAGCACGTGTCATTAGAACCAGGACATTCTTAGAGGAAACTAGTTAAACTAGTCCAAAGCCTTTGCCTTTGGTTTGTCAGTTTGGCTACCTTCTCTGGATGGTTTCCAGGAGCCGAATGTGGGTTGGGTTGCTTGAGTTGTCACATGGAACATGGAGAATGCCACGCATCCCACTAACACGCATCAGAGTTGGGCACAATTTGTTTCAACCGGACCCTCATGTTTGCAGCGAAACTTAAAGGAGGTTGCTAAGCATGTTTAAACAAAACATGGTTTAAGCAAGTGAAGCCCACTCCTTTGAAGGGAAACCCAGACCTGATTGTAGACTTTCAGATGTTTCAACAAAGGTGTGGCCACCCCAGAGCTTCCAGATGCTTCCAGGTGATGGGGCACTCCCACTCCAATGCTGGATGTGTAGACACACCTGTTTGCTGAAGGTACAATTTGTCGTTTTAGCCACCCATTTTCACGCAATTTCAACAGTTTGAGACCAAGCCACTTCACTTAAAGTTGTTTGTGTCTTTGTCAGGCTTTGATCATGAGGCCTTAGGTGTTCTCTCAAATGATGCCGAAAGTGGCAGATGCCTTGGTCCTGATTTGCGAATCTGCAACAGTACAGCTTCCATCATTTCCTCAAGTGGTTTTTGCGATGTCCCTTGGCAGAAGTCCTTGGCACTTCAACCATGGCGAAACCGATGTGTCATTTGAGGGCAAAGATGAGACCTCCAGCTCGCGTGGCTAGCAGGCAGGTTTTTTGTGGATTGTTGTTTTTGGTTGGGGATCCGGTGCTTGTTGTTATCAGTATGTGCCAATAAAACGGGGACAGTTAACATGGTGTTTCTTTACGTTTCCCTGTAAAACGGCCTGACCGGGGCACTCTCAGAAAGCACACAGCCTTGTACCTCCGTCAACCGGGCTGATTGCGCGTTCTGCCAGGAAGATGAGTACCTCTCGTCAACGGGTTGCGACGAGCTGCCGGCAGCCCAGGTCTTTCAGCCTTGGAACTCAATTGGGTCGAACAAGTACCAAGGCAGGTGATTCATTTGCTTGTTTCCCCACGTTACGTAGTGGTGCATGAACCCAGTAGCCAGCGGATATGAGGGCTTGAGATATCCTAAACTTATACATACTGACATATTGGCCTTCAAATTGATGCCAAGCCACCTGGAAAAATACGTAGGCTCTAGATAGTATCCTTCTACCAGTAGGTGGATTGGATGGTCATCAATTGGAAGGGGCCCATTTTGTTTTCAAAGCCCTTTGTGTTTAGGGTCTGCAAACCGACAAAAAAAGGTTAAACAAGCAGGTTCGCGGACGGCAGAAAGGGTGACCTCTATTTACCCGATTTCCATATTGGTCTGAGCAATATCCCTATGCGACCATACTTGTTCGTCCGACTGAGCTGTGTTGTGAAGGGCCTACATCCAAAGATGACGTTTCAACCCTTGCGGGAACGTCAACACATCAACCACCCTTGCGTTTCTAACAAATGGGTTTATGTTTCAAAAAAGGGGGGGGCCCTCAAATTTGATTTTGGTTCTCCTGTTGGCTTCCCTTTCAGCCAGCCAAAGGGTACCAACTCAAAACCATTTGCACAGGCAATTCACTCGACTGCCACCAGCAAGTGCTGCAGCCTGAGAGAAGCTCAGTCCGGGTTTTCTTGGTGAAATACACTTTGGACTAGACTTTTGGAGAACCCTCCCATGATGATTCCTTTCTTTTGGGGTCCGGGGTATGCTCAAAAGGTATGTGTTCTTGGAGAAGTGTTTGGTATTTGTGACATGTCATGACGTATCACACCAAAAGTTTAACTTGAAGCGGTTCACGTCGCGAGTTCCGTTCAGGATCTGCAACAATTTGAAGGAGCTCATTTGGGGTAAACCGAGCTCACACCTAATGAAGGCCCTTCGTTGGGGGCATTCTAATGCGTTGGGAGAGTAGCTGGGTTTCAGGTTTGCGCTACTTCGGGTGACTCGCGATTCTGAATCCCCCTTTCGGGTTTCGGGGCGGTCTCAACAGAGATGTTTCTCGGATTCCCAGGTGCTACCCATTGAAAGGCTTTGCAGCAGAGTCTCTCGCCCAAAGCTGACTAACGATTCTGGATTGATACATCTCTGCTCGATTCATGGGGCTTTCCCATTAAGTGGAGACCCCCCTATTAATCTGCCAGCTTAGATCCGGCTCAACACAGGTTCCCTGGGTGCCTTGCCAAACTTCCTTCGGACCCGTCGCCCTTGGCTTCGAGGTTTCAGCAGCCAAAGAACGTCCGAACCCAGTGGTGCAGGAGGCCGGTCCGATGTGGCCTAGCGGACCTCCCCTGAAGTCTGAAATGGCAAAAACAGGGTCCTCAATTTGAGAACAAGCACATGCGAAGCAAGTACGCAGTCATGTGCTATGGTGTGTGTTCCACCGACTTGGAATGTCGGGAGCATCAGCCGAATTGGCACAAGACCCGGTTCCTCGGGCTTGAGACGAGCATGAGCAAATTTAGTTTCTCCAGAACTCATTGTTGTTTGTTTGTTTTTTGCCGTTGCTGATCCGACGTCACACTTGTTCGCGCTGACTGAGTATGTCAGGCTGATCGCTGGCAAGAACAGCTCAGCCGAGTGGAGGACGCTTGTGCAGGGCACTTGTGGATCTTCTGACCAGCGTTTCCATTTGTGGCGGCAATGTTGATGGCCTCGAAAGGCCAAGTCAAGTTGCGATTTTTGTTTGGGGTGAGAAGAGCTGCAATGAATTGCGCCCTTGTTTTTAGGTCCCTTTGCGGCTGGTGGATTTCAATGTATTGCTTGACATTCCATAAGGAAGGAACGTGATTACCCCAAATTAATGTCTTCCATCCCATTCATCCATGCGTAGGGTAATACGTTTGTCTACGGTAATGGGGACAACATGGGGCATACGAGCTCCAAAATCCCCAATGTCAGTCGGGGGGTGCAATGCATATTGACCATGGCACCAGGTTCGGTCCCAACTCCAGGCAGTCAATTCCTCACTGAAAAAATCGAAAGCCAAGAGACTCACCAAAGCTTGCGAGAACACCCAGGGGCTCGAAGACTCACGAAGTTTCCTGTGTCCAGCAGAGTAACCCATTGCAGGAGTGCGGCGCCCGCTTCCGCACCATGCGTGCAGCCGGGAGACATGGACTAGAGAAAGCGAAGCGGTGGTCCATGAGTCGAAGTTCCACACATTGGTCTGGATTTGAAACAAAAAAGCAGCTGAATTTAGACGAATATCCAGTTTGTATTTCCAGGTTGGTTAGTGTGAGTGAAGATTCCAAAAGCTTTCGACTATTATACCGTTCTGTTTTTCTCCATGTTGGTCTAATTTGAGCCAGGGTTCGAAAAGGTTAGAGTAAAGGGTCCATTTGGAGTCGAGGTGCAAAGGGCAAGTGAGCGGAGCTTCAACCTATTGCCCTTTACGCTGCATTCGCCACCCGATTCAGCATTGGCGCTCTGCTGAAATTCGTATTAGCCCCTTAGAACTCAACGACATGCCCGGCAGCTGGTGGCCGTCTTTGTCAACTGAGCTGGCAAAATCAGTGGCAGTCTATTGTTAGTTTGGGGAGATGCGGAGCCTAACCCAGATCTCCCACAACAAAACAGGGTCAAGCCCACCGAAGTTTTCATGTTCAATCGGTGAATTGTTTTACCATTTGTACCTTGATTTATTATTTCGCGGCCCGCGGAAGCCTCATGTCCTACGTCATGTTGAGGTGTGTCAGAAGCTGTCCAGCCGAAGTAGCGAAGCGCTGCGGGAAGATCCGCTACAAGGACTCGCCGGCATCTTAGTTACGCTCCAGCGAAGAAAACCAACGATCGACAAACCTGTCGGGTGCTTCGCTTTGCAAATCCTGTACCAGACCCTCAGTCCTACAAGCTGGGGGGGCGCACTGGATTTGCCCACAGCAAGGCAGCAAGGCAAGTCAGCAGATGGGATGGCAACGGGCGCCGGGCAGAGCTCGCGACTCAGGCGGATCAGTTGACAGCGCTGAGGAAGGAGAATGAGGCTCGCATCAGCGTGGGAGCCTTGGCCCGTCCTGGTTGTTCCAGTGCGCGTTTTGGTGTCATGTTTCTTTCGTCAAGTTTGGTGAGCAGCCTTCCTAGGCTGTCATCAAATTCTTGACCGAGTCTTGATAGCAAAGTCAGAGCTCCCGGGGGTGCACCTGTGTTGTAGGCCAGTTTCAGGAGCCTTACATGGCCTTACTCCTGGCAGAGTCATCATATGGGAGGGACCTTAGCTGCCAACTGTACCCAAGTCACAACCCTAACCTGGTTGAAGACGTGCCCAAAACCATGGACGGATCAAATTTCCAGGAGCCCGCGTGAATTCATGGCTGACAATGTCCCCAATTCAGCGCGAATACCGAGGTCTTGATTTGGGCTGACTGGAACATGTCAATCACTACCCAGGTCTTGTTTTGGGCTCAGCCGAACATATTCCTGTCATGGCTGGGGCGGTTGCATGCTCGACGCGTCTGAGTCCTTGCTCAATGTGGCAGAAGAACGAGCGAGCGTGTGCCCGGCCAGATTGACCCACATGTGAGGCTTCAGGAGTTTCTGAAGTCGGACGCGCTCCGCCTGTTTCAGATATGGTTGTGCGCCGAACACCCTGCACCTTTCGGGGAGAGTTTGCATCAAAGGGAACCGCTATGAAACTATGTGGAGCTGCTCCTAGTTCTTACATGACTGCTTGCAGTAAGATGTTCTCTAAAGATAGGGCGATGGTGCGGGTTCTTCTCTTTCCAAAAGCAGAGCAAGTCATTTGCCCAACTCTGAACCTTCTTGCGCCCTTCCGACATAGCAGATCTGTTTGGGTGACCCCTACAAGGACCTAAACCTTTAAACTCATTGGTTTCATGCAGCCACCCCCAGGTTTGCGGCATGTGACAGAAGCACCTTGAGACCTGAAGGTGCCTTTTCTCTGGCGCCCCAAAAACCTGACTGCAGGTGGGTGGAGGCATCAATGAGCAGCCGCCGCCTGAGCGACTGACACGCCAGAGAGGAAGGCACTGGCAACGTGCCATGGGCTTTTGGGAGCTTGGGAAGGACTTACCAGCCACTTCCATTTGCTTAAGAATATTTTGTGTTTTCCCTGTTGGTTTTAAAGGGAATCCATCACTACTGGAAGTATTGTTTTTTTTTCCAGGGGACTTAAGCAAATGGAGGGCCAAGTCCCGGCTTCTTTTCGTGCCCAAGCGCTCGCATGCACCAAGGCTGGCCTGCAGCACGGAAGGCTTCCAGGCTCCATGGGAAGGGATCTGGAAGCTTTTGCAGAGAATATGGTCCCATGTTCTGGCGACCTCCCATGTTCTAGACATGTCCAGCCTCCAAGAACAATAAAACAATATTGATCAAATAGTAGTAATGAGAACGAACGAATAAGTAAATTAACAAATAACTACAACAATGCTGACCTCAATGAACCCAGTCGAATTTTGGACTGTGGGTTGACTCATTTCTGCGAGATTCCCTTGCCGAGTATCCTGCTTGCATTGATTCATGCTGCAACTTGTGGTTGAATGCGTCCCAGTTGTTTTAAGTCGGGCTGGTTGGCACTGCACCTCATGTCGAATGACTCGTGAGGGCCACCAATGCACCGATTTGCCAGATGCGTTTTGTGAGTCAACTTTTTGGCGCGATCCGTAGATGGAAGCCCTCCCCCACATGAAGTTGGCATCGTTTTTGGTGATCCCAGGCCATCTAAATGGCATCACAAAGAGTTGCACATGCTTGTCCCTTTGGCAGACGGGCTTCAACTCGGCCTCCGCTATGAGATGTATGCTGAACTTGCATTGGTTGGTGTGAGGTGCAGCTTGGACAGCTCAATGATTGTTGTTCAGACACTTCTTTTGTGTTTGCCTTGTTGCCTTTGACTTGTTTTTCCCTTGTGTGCACTCCTAGACTGGACATGGCTATCTCTTCGCGAATGGAGGGAACCCTTTGCCACATGCACTGCGTTTCGTGTATCATTTGGGAGATTCGGGTATGCGTCCAACAGAGAAGCCTTTAGACTGATGTTCCTTTTGATTTCCCTTGAGACCAACCCTTAAAAGGGTGCTCCACACTAACACGCGCCCATTTGTGTGATTCCGACAGCGTCAGTGGTTGCACTGTGCCAGGCAGAGATCGATTCCATGAAGCAGGAGCAGCAGGCGTGCACCTCATTTCCATTGCTCCGGGTTGAGTCATCAGGACACATCACACTAGTTGAGGCAGTCCCGGGGTGCAGACTATGATGTGCTCCGGTGTTTGTGCGGCTTTACGTGTGTCCTCGTTTGCGTGCTTGTGTGTTGTGCGTGCCAGTGTGTTGTGTTTGGGGTGTTTCCCTGGCATCAACCCTGGTGCATGGATCGCCCCTGTAGATCCACTCTCTCGCCCTGCTGCACCTCCGAGGTGCTCCAAACCCGGCTGGACACCTTGCGGAAGGAGCGCCAAGAGCTTGCGGAGAAGCTGCAGGCGAGAACGGGCTGTGGGTACCGTGCCGTGGACACTCAGAGTGCATTTCTGCAGACTCAAACCCGGGGATATATATATATATATATAAATACATGTATTGTTGAAAAAAGAAAGAAAACAGAACGTCCGAACTGATTACAGGCTTTCCTTTAAAAAAAAACAGATGTTTGCTTTGGGCATCCTTTTGAAAACCCATGAAAACCAATTGTTGAAACAGGGTAAATCTGCTCACACTTGTGTGAAATGGGAACCCAAAGGATAAGCCTGAATTTGATTTTTTTATTGGGTTACCTCGGAGGGGATGTCATACCCCTATGGTATGGAAGAGGAGTTGCAGGATCCCTTCACACAACGCACGGCGTTGGCAACCTTTCATGCTGACAGTGAGAATCATACAGTAGGCCATGTTGCCCGCTGGTGGTTCAACACCATGGAGTGAAGGATTGAAAGCCAAAGCGATCAACAAAACACACCTCCAGTCAACAGTTGAATTTCTCCGTTTCGGACGAGTCACAATGGAGTCCCAGTGATAGCAGCAAGTTCAGACAGTTCCGCAAGCAAAGTTCCAAAGGGGTCAGCCTCGGGAATGAGCTTATTGCGGGGCGGGCGCAGTACGTCCTCAACAAGTAGAACGTTTCAGGGCGGGCTGCCGAGGGGGCCCTGAAATTTATCGGATCTGATACATACCACGCACCAAGCAGGAATGCGTCGGTTGAACCAGCAACGGTGTGTGTGTGTGTGTGTGTGTGTCTGTCTGTCTGTCTGTCTGTCTGTCTGTCTGTCTGTCTGTCTGTCTGTCTGTCTGTCTGTGTGTCTGTGTGTCTGTGTGTCTGTGTGTCTGTGTGTCTGTGTGTCTGTGTGTCTGTGTGTCTGTGTGTCTGTGTGTCTGTGTGTCTGTGTGTCTGTGTGTCTGTGTGTCTGTGTGTCTGTGTGTCTGTGTGTCTGTGTGTCTGTGTGTCTGTGTGTCTGTGTGTCTGTGTGTCTGTGTGTCTGTGTGTCTGTGTGTCTGTGTGTCTGTGTGTCTGTGTGTCTGTGTCTGTGTGTCTGTGTGTCTGTGTGTCTGTGTGTCTGTGTGTCTGTGTGTGTCTGTGTGTGTCTGTGTGTGTCTGTGTGTGTCTGTGTGTCTGTGTGTCTGTGTGTCTGTGTGTCTGTGTGTCTGTGTGTCTGTGTGTCTGTGTGTCTGTGTGTCTGGGTGTCTGTGTTTTGATGATAATTCGCCCTTTTGTGGTTTTAACGAGGAACCAACAGGAAAACCACCATTTTGTAGGGTCCCCTATTAAAATTCACCCCATGGCTGCGGCTCGTTTTGGTTCGCACGCTTTTCGCAGGCCATGGACGAGCAGATCTTGGTGGCGGCTGCCTGAGAAATTCAGCAAGTTGAGTCCTTGGGGTTGTCCGGCTTCTCACAGAACAACCCCAAAAGTGCTTTCCCTGTTGGCGTCCGTTAAACAAATTAATGTCATTAAACATGAACTACATATGTAGTTGTATATATATATATATATATGAATTAGCCTCTTTGAACTTAAGCAGATTGAAGCGACCTGAAGAAAGGAAACCGCAGACTGATTCCTGCGTTGCTCTTTTCTCGATCGGCAAAAGTTTTTTGTGACTGGGCCACACCTTAACGAACGATTGGCCGAGCGAGAGGCGGTAGCTTCAGCTGGGAGATTCGAGGGCAGGATAGGGCAGCTGCCTTCATCTGGCAAGATGCTGCAGCAAACACAGCTTTGGCCCAGGCATGTCACGGCTTTGCCCGCTGCGTGGCCACTGGCAAAAGCAGTGAACGTTTCCATTAAGCATCTCAGGCGAAGGCAGGTGCTGGACGTCGAGAGCAAATAATGAGGATGTCTGAATCAAGCGCTAGCCGTTGAAGCCCCTCAAGCACGAGTTGGAGGGACGCAGGTTGCAGGTCGCAGGTCGCAGGTTAGGCAGTGCCAGCCAAAATGAATATGTGTAGTCTGCCTTTCTATATTTGAATGGTTTGGGTAAATCTCTTCACCAGGTTTTGATTAACTGGATGTTCCTCGTAATTTTACCAGTAATCCATTCCTAGTGCAAATCTAGCCACCACATACGCATCGTTACCTTCCCTACGCCCGGAGTGGTTGGATGGCTTCAGCAAGGGAGCCGAGCAAGCAACCGGCCAGCCAAGCAACCAACTACCCGCACCCCATCCCAACCCAACCAAACAACCAACCAGCCAAATATTTGGGCCTTCAGAACAGGAAGCACCCAATAGATCAAGGTCACTGCAGCGTGCAAAGAAGCCGCGCAACGGGAGAACCAGGCGCGGTCCAATCCATTGAGCCTGGGATCGATCTCAAATTACTCGACTTGTTTTTTTGGTGGGAACTCCTTTTTGGTCAGTTTTCAATTGGAAACCGATCCAGTTTGGGCTTTTCCCAAAACCCAAGGTGTTGGTTTTCTTTGGCGTTCCTTTGAACACCGAAAATGAGTCCCCTATTTAGGCTCCTCCAGAATGGGTGCACATTTAAATATCGGTCACACGACGCAGCTCCTGGATCTATACAAAAATCAGGGGAGTCGACTTCCTGCCATTTTTCTTGCTAGCAAGGATTCACGTCGACACACGGAGTTGCTAGTGCGATTCTGCCACCCGCACAGCCCTGTCCGTTTGCATACTCAACCTCTAAGCCAAACTCAGACCTCCAGTCATTTTTGCTGCAGAGGGTTTGCCTTAAATTCAACCACTTCAACAGAATGTGCCTTCTATTGCCATGGCCCTTCGACGTCCACGCCATACTGGGAATTGCATGGAATCGCCTGTGTCTCAGTCTCCTTGGCATACTTCCTCCAAGCTTCAAGCCATCGTTCAGAGAGTCAGAGTCAGCATGTTTGGTCAGATATCCTAGTCTTTGGTCCATTTGGTAGGGATATGGGGGGGAGTCACGAAGTTTCTCACACAACTAGCGGTGGAACATCAGGGTTCCACCAAAGGGTTCGTGTCCATGCTCGCAGGTCCCAACAAGTGAGAAGCATCCGTAGGTTCTGTCAAGATATTGAGCAGTCTATTGTATAGTGTTTGGAAAACAGCCGGGGGATCACACAATATGTTCGCGCATTTCACAATCGCTTTACAGTTTCCCAAGAGCAAAGAAGGTCTGACAGTCTACGCAGCTTCCCAACATCTTACCTAGGTCCCCCAGTAGTGCCCTTTTATCCTTTTTTGGGGGAGGGTTCCCCTACTAAAATAGACTACAGAAAAAAAGGCACCCTTAGTTTAATTTCCCTACTGGAAGACCTAGTTGTAAGAAGGACCGCCGAAAAAGCCCCAACCCCTTTGCTTCTTCCATCGCGAGGTGCGCGCCAGCGCGCAGCGGGTGTCAGTGGAGTTGCAACGGGAGCTGTCCATGGAGGAGGCGCGGAGTGTTTGGCGCTATGGATTCGGCGTGTCACTCAAACGGGGGGGGGGGGGGTTCGGTGGTTTTCTAGGGGTTCCAAACCATGCAGTGTTGTGTTTTTTGGCGTACTCAAGTGTCGAGGTTTGGGGAACGCGCAATTTGAGGGCGGAATGAATGATTGGTTGAACTTCTAATTCATGGTCGGAAACACCTGCTCCATGTACCTTTTGTCCAAATGATGCTAATATAACAAATATGGAGAGCCTCACTATACTCAATGCCAAGCCCCATTGTTGCGGGTGGACCAAACCGTAGAGGAGTCCCTTTCTTTTCTAAGGGAACCAACAAGACATGCTAGTTTTGAAGACCAAGCTGACACGAGGTTTTTTTGTTTGGGTTCCGAAGGCAAGAGTTTCTTTTTGCAGAAACAGACGTAAACCCACCCCCAGACCCACAAAGAGGGGGAGGGTCCCAGAATGTCCACCCAGATTCCGAGCCTCGTTGATTCTTGGGGGGGTGCTTCCTCCAAAGTGATCCGGTTCCTCTTACAAGCGGCACTTCTACTGCACTTCTACTGATGGACGAAGTCGTCAGTATTCATCGGGTTTCATCCGTCTCTGGGAAGTGGATTTGTCCCACGTGACCCATGACTCAAGCCCTGAGGATTTTTCAATCCGTGGCTTTTCCCAAGGTGGAGGCCCGGAAGGTGGGCGACCGCCAGCGCCTGCTCATGGAGGTGCCGTCGAGTGAGTCACGAGTCCGCCGGTTTTTGTGTGCGGCTAAGTTTGGGTTGCGTTTTTGTTAAGGGAGGCCAAGGTCCAAGGTCAAGCCACCACAAATGGAACCACAAAATGGGCAGGGCGGAGGGTTGGTCCATTTGTTCGCCATTCCTCCTTTTTTTTGGGGGGGGGGGGCCGGGGAAGGGGGAAGATCCCCGTTGAACTCAACCAGAATCTTACGTGCGGATATGTCAACTTGGGTCCCGACAGGGGCGGCCGCCGTAATGCTTGGACAACATGTGCATTCTGCGGTGCTTGGTGCCGCCGCAGTTGAGTAGCCCAGAGTTGGTATCAGAATGAATTCATAGGGACCGTTGCAGCGAAGTTGGAGCAATTGCGCATGCTACATCCTGCCTCATGCCGGGTTGATTCGATTGTTTGTGTTTTGAATCCCTTATTTGCAGCCTTACGTTTACAATACTAGTTACAATACGTTACCTTCACTGTCTCACATTCACCTATTCCTGCGCCAGAAAGTATAATTTCTTTGGTACGTTGATCTGTTCCCTATTTGGTTGCCGAGTGGGCAGGAGAGAGGCTGTTTTGGCACGGGTTTAGTTTGGTCCTAATAAAACAAACCACTTGTGCGATCTATTTCTCCAAAATAAGTACTTGCTTTCAGATGGCAGCATGGGGGAAGCTCTGTCTAGCTGGGCTTGCCCTGAGGAGTGTATCAGCATGTGGTTTGTTTGGGCCTTGGTCAAAAGAGAATTTGGAGCCAGAGAGACGATTGTGACCCTTCCTTCACCGCTCTTCATGGTCCTCAGCTGCCTCCACTAGCCGCCAATTTAGCTTCCTACGAATATGAATCAATTCATGACGTGGCCCAAGCAAACTTTGCTTGAAGCAACAAGTCGCAAAGACCAGTTTTAATGTGACACCACTAATTGTCTTTTTGTTGGCGTCCTCTTTACGGAAGTGCAAGGCCTTTCAAGGAGGACTTGCCCAAGCAGTTCCTTCAATCTGAGGACAGTTGACAGGCAAACTCCAAGTAATACCGGCTGACTCTTGGTATTTCTTGGTCGTCCTGAGGCCAGGATGTTTTCACAACACTTCAGAGCGACTGTGCCCTTCCCAAAGCAAACCAAACAACGCTTACTGTGAGAGACATTATTCCCTCTATGCCCAGCCGTGCAGGCCTGGAATCTATTTGACGGATTTGTTCACTTTGAAGGGGGGGAGTGGTGATGCTCATAGTCAATATTCGTCGAAATGGAGCCTTCAAGCGCAACCATACATGATCAAGGTTGGGGCATTCGAAGTGGATGCCATCCCTGGGTTTGAAAACCCGGTTTTCTCAAAGCTGCTTGTTCGACCCATGCTTCCTTGCTCGTTTCGGTCACTGCACCACGACAAAAGTTGCGGTGGGATGAAATAGGGTCGAAGCAGCTGTTGTTGATTTTCATGTTGTTTATCTTATGGATGTTATCACAAGTGGTATAAATATTGGCACTGAAGCATGGTCCCTTTTCCGAGTTTGATTTGTTTCCATGGTTTGTGGATTCGCTGCTTGTGAACCCAGCTGTTTGCTGCCCACAGGCCACTGCTGCCTCGCGCGACATCGAGGTTGGGGCCTGCACATTTGATCACTTGACAGTCTGGGAAGCTCGGCAGGGACGCACAAACCATAAATTGAAATGGAGGTCAAGAAACCGGTTTGAGGATGGAAAGCAGGTCGAAAATTCGGGTGGAACCTCAAGGAAGTCATCCTCCGGAAAATGGGGCATTGCTGGGGTTCCGTGCTGATCTGCAGCGGTGTACTTTGCCCGTTATTTGCTTTTTTGCCTGCTGGGGACTCTGATGAGACGGACTCGCTGGGAAGAGTCGGCAAACAAGAGATCTGTGCAAGGGCTTGCTCGCCACCCGCGCGGAAGCAGCCACTGCTGCTGCCTTGGAGTTGGGTTGTCAGCATGACACATGGGAGTGCATCATGAAGCCATACGACAGCTTTGCGAAAATCTGAGGCTCCTGGCTTAAGGCAGTGGGGGGACGCCCAACATGGTTGATGTCCGATTTGGTTTCCCTTCAACACCCCCCCAAACAAAAAGAAGCAAACCAACAAGGCAACTCTCAAAAACAAACGCCCACGTTGGTGCAGGGGGCTGGGTGGCTGGCGTGTGTGTGGGAAAGCGCAAATCTTAAGCACGACGCCAGGCCACATGCGTTTGCATCTACAGTGTTATGTGTAAATCCTCATGTGTTGGTTCCTAAAAGCCTCTCATTGGATGGGTTGGAGCTTTGGTTGTTCTGTTGTCTGTCTTCGCCGGTTTCATCATGTGAGACACGAATATATTATATTATATATAAATATAAAGTGCGCATTAGTGCGCATTAAGCCAGGTGCGCATGGGTGTTTCTCAAAATAGGGGTCCCCAACAATGGATGGTTTCCTTTTGGTTTAATTGCGGTGTGCGGGGGGAGACATCTTGGCAACAGAACAATTCATATCAGCTCCGATCACAGAGGAGGAGTTCAGAATCTGAGTTCCGTCACCCTTTCTCCCCTTTGAACAAAAAGGACCCAGCAGTTACACTGCCATGAATTGGATGGATTAGATACCCTTTGCCTAGCAACTCACCCATCAAAGCGCCATACTGGGAATTGACACGGGAATGTCTTTTTGTTGTGTTCCCTGTTTCGGCTCGTTGTTCAGAGTTTCAGGATGAGAGAAGCCCAAGCGAACACTGTCCAAAGACTCGTTTCACCGCCCGGAAAGCTCCTCAGCCCCAGGTTTTCCACATGCACCCGAAAAGCATGAAGGAAAACCAGCAAGAACTTGCGCTTAAGATTTCCAGGCACAGCTTTCCGCAAAAGCAGAAGCACAGTTTGGAGTGATTCTACACAACCACAGGCACCTCTGCAATAGAAGCAAAGGTCCATGAGTAAAGAGGGCTCCTTAACAGATACATTTTGCCCATTTGAAGCATGGCTTGTTCCACCAAAGTAACGGGAAACCGCCATTTACCAGGCAATGTTCAGGTGTACGTAAGGATCCCTGGTAAAATGCGTGGCACGGGAGCAACGGAGCCCAGCAACTCGCCGACGCACCGACTCACCGACCCCAGGCCCGGCGCGCGGCGCAGGAAGAGCTGCGCCAGCAGCCGCCGAAGGCGGCCAAGGCGTGTCTCCAGCTGGGCCCTCGGGCCAAACCTGCCGTACTGCGGATGGTTGCGACATCCATTTCGCACATAATGAAACCATGGTCGAAACCATGGTTGAAACCGTTCCATCCACAGTATGGCCACATGCTCCCTTCAACCAATCCATGTCAGTGCCGCCGAAGCCCTCTTTTTGAGGGGGGCTACCAAAAAGGGACAAATTTGACAACCCACGTGAGCCGGGGGAACAATCCTGGTCTACTGTTTGTTTGGAGGGCATGGAAATTCAAGACAGCCAGGGGACAACCCAATTGTTCCTGTTGAGGAAGCACTTAAATTTATTGGGCTCCTCATGTGACATTGCCAGACCAAAGGCTTATTGAAATCAGTGAAGCTTTGTTCTGCCATTGTTTTTGCTGTTTGCCGTTTCGGTATTCCTTCAATTTGCGACCATCAACATTCAACTTGTCTCAGGCGAGGCACTAATGGCAGGCCAGCCTTGATCGGCGGTCTGTATTCGTGATTTGGGGCCCTCTTGAAACCAAACGAGAAGACGCCAACATCTACCAAAACCGCTCCAATCGAAATCCACTAAAACCACACATACGAACCTCTCAACTAGGCGGTTCCCAAGCATTCCCTCAGCTTATGTCGTATCCCCCGGAAAGTTGGTTGTCACCTTTGGCAAGAGATAAAAAAATCACCTACTCCTCAAGGAGATTGCGTGCTGGCTTTGGGGTTCCATGTCGGGGGTGTCTTCTAGACGGTCCCCCCTTGTTTGTCGTTTCTTAAAGGAAAACCAACAGGAAGACCTCTTTCTTTGGGGGGCACTCCCCTAGAAAAAGGCCATGCCCGTGGTAGAAGCCCAAACTCAGCTTCGGTGACCCGAGCCACTCACCCGCCTCGGCGCCTCGAGCAAGCGAGTCGCGAGCTGCCGCAAGCTCGAGGTCGGAGAAGGACCGGGGCCGGGCGCTGGAGGAGCTCATGGCGGGGTGGCACAGCGCCATCTGGGGGCCCAAGGCCAAGGCGGGATCGGGATCGCCGAAGGATTCTGATGGCTTCACGGGCGGGTTTGGGGGTTTGGGGGGGAGGGGGGGGGTTATGGGATACACTAAGTATGGGTATGTGTTAAAATTAAAGCAGGGGACCAGAGGTTTCAGCGCAGATTTCCATTTTAATTACCAGGGTTCCATTTTTGCACGGAACCAGGAGGTTTATGGGATACACAACCATATATTCACTATCCCGCCAAACCCAAGGGTATTATTCTTTAATGCGATACACAGATAGCCAAAAATGTTCGGGGTATAGGCCCGACAGATGGTTTCCAGCTACGCGAGGAGTCAATGGGATACAAACTGGACCACTATATTTGCCTGGCAGTTTTGGAGTATTAAGATATCCCGTTGCTTGGCAGGGTTTTTGGTTCAGTGGTAGCTCGTGTATATTTTGAGGTTGACAGAATATGAAACATGGCATAGCCTAGCTGCTTGGTGTACTCTGGGATTGGGACACAAGGTGGTTGCGCCTAGTAAAAGCCGTTTTTCCACAAGTGGTCATGTTTCACCAAGACTGTTTCTACTTGGACCCAGCCATTAGGATGACCCTGCCTTTTGTACCAATATAATCATGCTGTGGATGGTTGCGACATCCATTTCGCACCACGAAACGCAACCATGGTTGAGAACATTGCTGGTTGGTATTTACATTGGGGAATCATTATCCCAGGGATTCTGAACGGTGGTGCAGGATTTCATTAAACAAACAACCAAAACAGCGGCCAGGAGCTGGCGGCCGACCCGGGGGCCCTGTCGGCCCTCAGGGCCCTGCACGCGCGAGCCGGAGGGCAGCTGCAACAGGCAGACGGCGGAGGTCCTGGGTTTGTCTCGAAAAAGGACCCCCCAAAAAGAGGGGGGGGTGTTGACTTTGGTTTTCCTTTGAAAGCAACCCATTTTTAGGATTCCCCAAAAAAAGGCTCCCCCAAGATTAGACACGCCGTTTTTGGGGATTCGTCCAACCTCCGCTCGTTTCTTTGTCCGGCGCCCCAAGGTCCCAGTGGTTCCCCTTCTCCTTTCGGGCCGGTCAGTTCTTGCCGTCAAGCATGCACAACTAACATCGATCATCTGATCCAGTGGCAAGGAGAGCCATTGCAACCTAGTGACGGGCTTTTCGGGGCCACTAAGGACCATGCGTCGTAAACTTCCCATGGCTGTTGCGATTCGGCTCACCAGTGGACTGCAAGGGGTAGAGGTTTCTCCCCACGTGATTTCAGTTATATTACCAGAAATCAGGCATAAGAGCCTAGCCTGGCTCGAAGCACTCAGCGAGAAGAGGCGTGGAAGGAGACGGTGCAGCTGGCAGCGGAGTGCCTGGGCGACACCTCGGCCCTGGGCGATGCCTCCGAGGAGACCTCGAAGGGGGGCGGGGGGGGGGGAGTACATCACTGCCCGCTTGCTGGCTTGCTGGGCCAGTTTCAGGTGAGCATTTTTTGGGTGATTCGGACACGTCTCAGCAACCGGACGGGATGACGTAGCAGAAATCTGAGTGGACATATTGGTGCTGAAAGTCAACCTACCCGACCTCCAACAATGATGGACGCTGGCAGGAGGGTTTTGGAAGACAGCTTGCCTTTTCAGGAACCCCCCTGTCTACTTTCATGATTGTTGGACAAAGGGTACCCGAAGATATGATATAACAACAAACATTGACCCTGGATTCACAACCCCCTCGAATAGAAAGGAGGTGGCTCCCACTGAAGAGGGGGGTCCTTCACTTCGGCCCCCTGTGAATCTACTCGGTTGCCATTGGTTAATCCGGGGTCGACAACATGTGGGACCTCTCAAATGACATAGTTTCACGTAGGTCATAACATATAGTCATTTGTGGTTGGGAGCGAAAGCTGAGGATCGCAAGGCGGGCAAGAGAAGGAGTTGACCCATAATGGCCCTGAATGGAGACTGAGAATCACCAATCGGCATTCGGAATGGCTGCTATGGCTCCATTTACCTTTTTTCGGGCTCTGAATCAGCACATAGCACATAGCGCGAGTCCAACCTTTTTGCCTCCATTTTGGTTGCAAGATGTGGAACATCTGATGGAGGTGGCTTCCTTTTCTGTGTTGATTTTCCAGGAGTTTGTTTGCAGCAATCTTCTTTCGGGTGTTGGTGTTTCAGGATGGAACAGCATTCATACATGTCAAAAATATATAGCTCGGAAAAAGCGGAGTACCAAAAAGGAGCCCCGCTTCCCTCTCTTGCCTCTCTCACCCACTTCCCTCCTTTTCCCCCCTCTTCCCCCTTTTCCCCCTCTTCCCCCTCTTCCCCCTTCTTGCACTCCTCTTGCCCCCTTCTTGCCCCCTTCTTGCCCCCTCTTGCCCCCTTCTTCTTGCCCCCTCTTGCCCCCTCTCCCCTCTTCTTCCTCCCTCTTCCCCCCAAAAGACCGAAGCAACGCCAGCATAGACCCAGATAGCAAGAATTGTAGGGTGTTCGCAAAAGACGGTGATTGACAGGGCCATAGGACCAAACCTGCAACCGGTTGAAAAAGCAAGACGCCATGGACATCCCCTCGATGATCAGTGTTAGGAGGTTTCTCGGGGTGAGGGGGTTCAATCTGTTTTGCGCGTGCGACTTGACACAACGGATGGGTGCCAAACGATTTGGAGAACCCACTGCTTTCCCTAAACGCTGAAGGATGCTTATGCAGCTAGGTCAAGAGATGACTTGCTTGAAGGGCTGCTGTGTCCGCTGTACTGACTATAATAGATGTGACAGCTTTTGTTGCATAAGGCCCCCTGTGAGACATGACAATAAATTGCCCCCGTCCAGTCTTGATTGGCCTCAAGCTGGGGATTCTGCGCTGGTGTATGCCTTCCCCTTGGCCCCGTCCAAGGGCCGAGTTGGTTTATGCGCCGCTTGCCTCAGGACATCAGCAAAGCGGCAGAAAGATACAAGGAGATGCTCAAGGAGGTGAAAGGCAACGTGGAGAGGATGAAGGTCCTGGAGGTTGGGCCGGAGTCACTCGCTCAGCCAACACTTGGAGGGGTGTTCAAGATCACTTGTTGGGTTCATGTGTTTGTTTTCATTGACTCAGTTTATGTGCCGTGCCTTCACCTTTCATGGGACCTGGGTTGTTTGGAACTCTCGAGTCTCAACTAAGTGGTTTGATGTATTGTTGTTCGCAATGGTAGGCTCTACTGGGACTCAACAGAGCAGCCAACCTGATGCAAATGCGTCCAAGGGGATCCCTCCAAGCGTAGGGTCATTGCTTGTTTTGGCACATGCTGCAAGTTTTAGTGTAATGTGGCTTCATTCCGGGGTTTCCAGCCAGGCCGAACGCGCGAAGCTGGCAAAGGAGACCGGAGGTGGGTTTTCCAAGAGATGTGCTGTCGACATGGACTTGTTGGAACACGGTCCCTAATATCTCCCCTTTAGCGATTTCAAAGATCACCTCTTGGGCAAATGTCAAGAAAGGGTGTAAGGGAAGTATAGGGAGCCTTGCGTAAGTTTTGTTTAGTGGTTGTGGGCTCGCTGGCTGCTTATTCTCAGGTCTCTCTATTGCGATGCGGACATTCTGTGCACAGAGCCTTGTGCGACTGTTGATGACCAACGTTCCTAACCTTGAAGCTCCCGATACTGGAGTTGACAAGACGCCAAGATATAGATGAGATTGAATCGTATGAAGCGATTTGGGTTGCGTGACCAAAGGGGTCTTGACATACCCTCAAGCTTCTGCTGCCATGTGGCCTTACAAGCCTTACGCAGACAGATCCAAGGGAGCGGCGAAGATCGTTGACCGATCCAAGTGTTTGATTGCCTTGCATGTTGAGATAACTGTTGCAGCGCAACTCCACACTACGCCACCTCCAAGTGCCGGGATAGATCATCCACCGATACGACGTTGATGCTCTTCCGAGGCGAAAAGCCGCAAGATGCAGCCCAAAGCGAGGCTGCACAGGATCCCAAGGCTTCACCAGAGCAGCTCGGTTGATCAAGTCTCGGGCAATCTTAATGAGCATGCAACTCAGACAAAGGTTTTGCTCGAAATAGGGTTTAACTTTGCATTGTCTCAAATGTTCAGTCAAATGGCAACCGACAGTCTGGGGAGTGGGTCCCCAATTTGGAGCAGTGCCAAAATCTTTTCGCAGCTGTACAGACAAAAGTGAAGGGCTGGCATTCGGTTCGCTCATCAATAGCCTCACAATGCCAGTGATATGTCTCAAAAGAAGCTGGCAGAGTGGCAGCTGAGTGGGTCAACTTATGTGTATATATATATATATACATTAAACGTATACATGTATATATATATATATATGTTGGGACCTGGTTTCCCCTCCTTCTCCTTGTTGGCTGGGCGTAGAAAATTAGCCTCACGCTAAGGACTTTGCCAGAAGGCAAAGTGGCCTCGGCGACGCGCTCAGGGATTTCAACGTCGCACTCATTCCGGGCGTCGAGCTGGGTAAATCGGACTCGCTAATGTTCCAGCCCTCCAGGTGTCAAATGGCCCTCAAACCAGCTGAAAGTTTGCTCAAAGGATGTCTCTAGCCTTTGGGGAGTCTTTTTTTTGTTCACACCCACCTGGGAAGGGCCGGGTGTGCTCATGTGTGCCTTCAGCCAACTCCAGGTCCTTGCTGAGACATCCCATGTGCCCGAGCCAGGCCTGGTAGTGTGCATGCAAGACATAGTGACTCTACAAGCCTCAAATTTCACTTGGAGTCTTGCTGCTGTGGGGTACAACCCGTTTCACCCACTCGTCCAAACGTGTGCTTTGCCTGTGAACCCAACTTGGTGGAAGCTACACGCGGCTTTGATCCAGATTGACCTGACGCATTTGCATATTGACATGCCTGTGAGATGTTGCTTGACCGTTCCTCGTGCGAAGGAACGCCAGCCGCTGAGGATGATGCTGAATGAACACATGACCAAACATCACCACGAGAAAGAGCTGTTCTGCCTGCAGTTGCATTTGACTATGATGTTGGCAGTGCCTGGATTTGCAAAGCGAGTCTTGTGTGCCCTTGGCTTGTATGACAGCACATGCACGAGTTCAACAGATATGCGATATTGGAAGCAGACAGGTCCAACCCCAGACCAGGTTCAACCTTTTGCCACGGCATCCACCAGAGTTTTCTGGATGGAGCTTCGCAGAACACCTTCGACATCTCATTTCTCATCCTGGTCTTTTAAGAGGAACCCACAGACTTCGCAAACGCACTGTGATGATTCCCTGCACCCAGACCCACTTGAGACATTTCCGTCGAAATTCATATCTGCGGCGCACGCATGGCATGGTCGTTACGCACTGAAGGCTGGATCGTGCAGGCTTGCACTTTCGCATACTTGATTTTCTTAGGCCTAGGCCTGTACATGTTTGAAGTCTATTGTGCTTGTTGGAGTGAATGCTGTGTGCTGGTGTCATGGTGTAAGCAAGAACTGGTACTTGAAATTGGCTATGGCACTTCGTTCGGGCATGATAAGAGTCGATTGAGGCAGACCAGCACATGTCTTCCGCGCGGGATACTGCCACAGCCACAGTTTGCCAGAGATGAGAGTCGTGCAACGGACTCACATCTAGATGATCAAACGCAAGCGAGTCGGCACTTACTTGCTGGCAGAGGTTCGCCGCCAAAGCTGCAACTGGACAAGTCAGCCATGGAAATCAAGCTGGTTCTCCTGCTGGCCACCTTCAGCTTTCAGTATGTTTGAGCCGAGTTCAGAATTTACCCCCATTGTATTTGGAAGAAATACCGAAATACCCCTTCTCAGCCCCCCCCCCCGGCCTTTTCCGTGCCAAAACTCGGGGCACTTTTTGTGGTCTCGGCCTCACAGGAAGGGGCCTCTTGAGATGGAAGCCGCAGCCTCGGTCTTTGGCTTTCCAGTCTTGGGCGGAGGGTCCCCACTAAAAAAAAATGCGCCGTGAGCCTCTCGATGGTGCGAATCCCAGCTTTAAGCTGTTGACCTCTTGAAATCAAGTCGGCTTGGGAATCCTTTTTGGTCAACAGAATGGGCAAAGTACGTGGCCCTTGTTCCTGCCGGTGATGCATTCACTGTACACCTCAACAAGTCTGGACAATGAGGGGGCCTCATCGACTCATCGGGGAACGAACCGTCACAGAAGGTGTATCCACGGCACCTGTGGAGGATATTTGTTTCCCCCCGCGCCCCAAAACCACTTCCAGCAGCTTCGCAAACAGTAGGCCTTGCAGTATCCCTTTGTTTGCTTCCAATTCGAATTAGTTGGAAAGGTCATCATGAGTGTATACACAACATACATAATATATGTTATTATTGTTATAGTCATTGGGCATCAGAATTGAAGCTCTTGAACAGATAACAGCACAAGGAATGGCCTGCCGTGCTTTGGGTTGACTTGCACTCTTTGATGCATTTTGGTGTGAAAAACTTAAGGCGTTGGTGTTTGTGCTCATGGGTTTTGGATTATGTTTGGTTCCTTGACTTTGGCGGTCAGAAAGCACCGCTTTCCAGCCCAGGCGTTGGCAGGCACCGCCTACCCCACGACCACCCCCGGCTTAGCCGGACTGTGCCTACCAGGAATGGGCCGCCGCGAGAAAGGTTTAGAGCGGTGAAATCCCCCGTCAGAAGGAGGCACATGGGCCACGCTTAGAACATCTACTTCAGGAAGTGGGGTTTGGTGCACCGAGTTTTGGGGAGGGGATGTGCGCTTCCATGGTGGAAGTGTAAAGTGCATGGGCCAGAAACTCGGGAAATGGCAGAGGTACTCTCTTCGCTACTACCTTTGCTGCTACAACTGGTACTACTAGTACTACGAGTACTATACTAGTACTTCTTCTACTGCTACTACTACTTCTGCTTCTGCTACTGCTACTGCTACTGCTACTGCTACTGCTACTACTGCTACTACTACTACGCTGCTTGCTACTTCTGCAGCTGCTGCTGCTGCGGCTTGCTGCTGTTGCCGCTTGCTGCTGCTGCGTGCTTTCGAGTGGAGCTGCAAATTACATTTTGTCAAAGCCTTCTGGAACGGACGAGAAGGCTACCCGATGTTCTTTGGCTATACAAGAGGTTTCGCAAGTTGGGGAAAGCCCTGTACAACCCATTCATAGCCACTGATTTCGATTGCAGGGCGGAAAGGTTGCAAACTCATGTGGGGTACTCAAGAAGGACCTCAGTTGCCTGGGTTTGTGCTGCTCGTGCAGGAGTGTCATGCCGCGGGCAGTCTACAAGCCCTCCACAAGGCCACAGATGCGGAGCTGTCGTGACAAAGGCTTCAACGAGTTCGAACGGATGTGTCCCGATCGCTTGCACCAAACCCATGTGGCATCTACAGCCCAATTCTTAGGACCCATTTAGCCAGAAGGTGGCTGAAGGGTCACATTCCCCAAGGATGTGCAGATATGCCAAGCAACAAGCAAACTTCAAGCCGCTTGATTTCTTATGGGCCTGCCGTAGGTGTGTACTGGGTAATTATGCTGCACCGAGGAACTCTTTTGCGTCGTGGAGTGTCTCAAATTCATTTTGGAGGAGCCACTCTCCCACGGGTCCCGGGTGTTCGTGTGCGAAAGAAGCTGCACCATGCCTTGGATTTGCGCTGCACCGCAGGCCGAGAGGCGGTCTTTGCCCCACCCACGGCCTGACACCGAGACCCCTTGGTCAAACAGTCACCGCGGGCTCCCCGACGTGCTCACTTGCACAAGGCCAACCTTTTACCTGCTGCGGGTTTCTGTCCTTGGTCAATAGGGTCAATATCGAGATAAGGTTCCAAAAGCTATCGTGCGCAAGGCAGCGTCTTTTTCGTTTGGATGGGCAAGTACAACAGGAGTTGCTGGGTCCATTATTTTGGTTTGCAGAGGCTTATCGAACTGGGTCATGTCCCTCAATCCCTCTGGGGATAGCAATGGGTCCAGTTGCTTGAGCGAGAGTCAACTGACATCGGGAGTTCATGCACCAGAAAAGTGGTTGTTGGCGCATTGCATGCGACAAGCATGTTGCAGTTTTGCACATGCTGCAAATTGTAGAGCTGTGCGTTCCCACCTTTCCTTTGCCTATGCATAACCTGATTTTAGACCTTCCTGCCCCTCGGCCAAGCGTTTGTGTGACGACTGGCATAGCGGCATTGCACCTAAGGCAGGATCATCCTCTCATGCAGCCCGGGAGGATTGCGAGGCCGGGTCACTACGGTGCCATTGGTAGCACAGTCGTGAATCATGCGCCTCCAATTCAGACCTGTGTGACAACCTGAGGGGAACAGTGCAGGAGTCCTGGAGTGTTGCTAGGTTTTCCAAGGGTGTAGACACAAGCAGAGCTTGCAAGAGAGACAGAGAAAGAGAGAGGGACAGAGAGAGAGAGAGAGAGAGAGAGAGAGAGAGAGAGGGAGAGAGTCCGGGGTGCTGGGGCATGGTGCAGCGCGCAGCACGGACGCAATCATCCTCCCAAGTTTGCATGTTCCCTGCATGCATCCTGGCTTCCTCGTTTTGGGCAGAGTTCACTTGAATCAACCAGCCCAAGGTGCTTGCGAATTTTTCAGTCCAAGGTGCAAAGTTGCTGCCCCCCCCCCCCCCGCCTCGTGGACACGTGGGTTTGGATCAATCTGCAGGAGCCCAGAAGCCTCCCGTTTGGATGGCCAAGTTTCTTGCCACCTTCAACCTTTCTAATTAGTGGGTTGGAGTTGGGGGTCCCAAATTTGGTTGTGCGGAGTTTGTTTCAGAGCTTCTGTGATCTCAGGAGAATCCCCTGGGTGCCAAAATCATTTGATCTTCAGATTGAAAGGGTCGATTGCCCCCGACCGTCCAAGAAGCCTAAAGCTATCACGAGGCGTCTCTTCCGGGTGCGCAGGTGGAGGCTCGAAGGGAGGAAATTAATGCTATGGTCAAACGACCGGTTCCTTTCCTTGGTGTCGCAAATGGTCACGACCCCTTGAGGGCTTTAGACCTTGATCTGGATTTCCATGGGAAGCATGACCATGGCCCATACAATGGAGTTTTGAACATGTGTATGCTGTGGAGAAAATATACAGTAGAATGCACTTGAGTGCTTGATTATGAATTTCATAAATGCATGCAACACATGCATACCATATCCAGGTGGTATACTTCTCATTCATATTGTACATCGTGTTCATATGCACTCGCACAGCCATTTATTTCCTGTACACATGAGTTTGTTGGTTTGTCACAGACATGTGTATGCACGTGTAGGTAAATGGATCACAGATCAAGTCACTTGCTCACTCGTCACACTTTGACCCTCCCGGCGCTTTGCTCTTGCCGTTAGATGGTGTTGCTGCGGAAGGCCTGTATAAATAATCCTGTCTGGTCATACTTTGTTGGCCTAGATGAACACTTTGCATGAGTTATTGGTATGGTTTTGCTGCTAATATGGGTTAAAAGATGCAGCACAACGCCAGTCAACCCCAGTTTGCCAATGGTGTTGATTCCGGCGCCTACTAATGTTTTTTCTTCCAAACGGGCTCCGTTTGGCTTGACATTCTTCAGAAGAAGAGGCGAATGTTTGTTGATGCCTCCCCTGCGGCCAATCTTTGGTTGTGTTCGCTGTTGCTAGTTGTTGCTCGGTTTATCGCTGCTCTTGCATATGTTTGCAATCCTTCTTCGATATTCACTAACCATCCTCCATCCTTTACGAGCTTCGGCGTTTTCGGCATGACGAATGCCTTGCTTTGAAAGATGCATCTTCTGCCTTTGCTGCCCACAGACCTGTGATTAGGCTTTTTGGTAAAGTGCATGACACCTGGGTATTCACAGTCTGGCAGACCCTGTCCCTGCAAATCACTCCTGCTTTGGCAGGCTTGCTCAGATGTGCAACAGTCAAAATCCAGAAGGATTGCAGCCAAATTTGCCCGAACCAAGCTCCTGCATGGGGATGACTCGGGGCAACGCATGTTAGTCCATATTTGCATCGTTGGATGCGTGGCGCCATGTTTTGTTGCTACTTTCTTCCTTGACCACGCTCAATTTGTTTGGACGCGGGCGCACCTTTCTTTTTCTGGTCAGGGAATCGACTCGGGAACTTGCCTGTACTTCCCATTGTCGAATGACTATCCCGGCAAGCAAAGGTGCAGCAGCCGCCAATGCTTGGAATCAAGAGTAGACAGGCGGGGACGGGGAGAGAGAGACAAGAGGAAAAGGGAAAGAGAGAGAGGGAAGAAAATCGATCGACATAGATTTACTTGTTTGCACCTTGTTGCAACAAGAAAGTTCTCAACGATCACAGGCTTGTCCTGCCTGCCTTTGCTGCTGCCCTTGCCCTTGCCCCCGCTGCCGCCTTTGCTGCCGTCCTCGCCAGGCAGTTGTTCTTTGAAGACCTCATCACAGAGCAAATTGATGTATGCCAAACTGGCGCCAGCAAAACATGTCAAAAGGACAACCATGTGCCCGGTGTTTACAGCATGCACCACTTACAGTTGGAAGTGTTTGCACTGCCTAATGACATTTACTCACCAACACCAATCATGGCAAATGTGGGTGCAATGTTTTTTTGTTTTTGTCGTATAGTATGTTGCAAAGACTTGATTGATCCCTCTCGAAGCGCGATTCGACGATGGTTGATGTCGTGTATCTCTATCATATATATATACACATGTATCATATGTAGACGGTGCCACGGGTGAGCTTGATTTATCCCAGTGCAGGACAGGGACATGCGTGACATCCTGACAGAAATCAGCACTTCAAGAGTTGGAATTTGGGGGAAGGGCACCGCGTAGAATTCCATCGCTGCACGTTCCATTGGGGAACGCTAAATCGAACTGGAGGACGCCTGGCATCCCCCTGCCCTGTGGTGATATAGTTTTGTCTCAAAACCAGGCTGGCCCCTCAATGACTGGTTTCCTTTTGGTTTCCATTTAACACCAATCAGAAACAAGGTTATACCCAGCCAAAGACCATCAAACCACAATGGTAGACAATGAGTTTGTTTTCTGGCTGCACCCACCCAATTTTCTACCCAGGACCATTGCTTGGTTGATTTGATTTTGTTCGATTCTATATGATTTGATCGGTTGGTTCATTGAGCCTCAAGGCCGAGGTCTTCAGCCCCCAGGAACACGCTCTGTTCTGTAGGCGACGACTCAAAAGGGAGAGGCCGGAGCGGGAGTGCGGGCTGGGTGTTGATGAAGGAAACGGAGGATACACGTCAGGTTTTACCGGTGAAGGATAGTGAAACAAACGAGTTTTACGGAACCATATGCACACAGTTGAACATGATGTGTATTTGCATACTGATGGGTATGTATCCTTTTCAACTAGTACCAACTGTATCTATATATATATATACATACCTTGATACTCATGTTTAATACACATTCACATTCGTGTAGCCGTAGACCTCGGTACATGTTTGCAAACAAGTACTTCCAATCGTGCTTCCAAAACTCTTGGTGACTGCGCGCTAGTACAAAGGAACTCGTGCTTGAACGTTTGTTCAACTCACAGCGTTGGGCAGTGTAGCAGACTCACACGGATGGCACTTTGAATGCTCGGAGTCAGCAAGGACCCATGTTAGACCTATTTAGGGATTCAATACCTACCAATGATTGCACTGATGGCTTAGCATGATTCAGTTGATACGAATTTGGTCACGGTAGGACTCGATTCGCGTCCATGGGCACGGTTCTTTTCGGTCAGATCATCTACTCACTGGCAGTCAATTTTCGACGGCCGCTTGGAGATGTTCGGATCACAAGTATCAACAAGCTCCAACACTGCGTATCATGCATGCTGCCTAAGGTGAGGACTACTGGCAATTCCCCCCTTTTGGCCATTTGTGTAATTGGCGTTTGCTACCGTTTTATGCGGAGTAGGAAGGACTTTATTAACATGTTTAAATTCATGTTGGGCAAATTCCCTGTAGAATTTCCTGCTGGTTGAGTGGGCACTTGGGCACTGCTTAGGTTGAGAGTGTGCTGTTCCACCACCAGACTGGCCTTCGGTGCAGGTGCAGATCATTGGCATCCCGATTCCAAGCCGCACCGTGGAACAGGCCAGTCCGTTGCTTTGTGAGGGCGCATGTTCTTACCAAGAGGGCGCTTGCTACCCTGTAACCCATAAAAGGGCACAACCCCTTGGCGGGGGTCCCTGTCAAAGTGCAGGTGCGGCAAGCCGCGCCTGTGCACATGCGAAACTTGCGCTGTGGGATTCAAGAGTTGAAGCACCCAAACTTGTGAGGACATACTGGTAACAAGGATGCCGACCAAAGCTTTATCGAACGCTGAACTGGGCCACAATCAAGACCGGGTAGAAGGACAGGCGACACTTTCCTTGCCGTAAAGCAATGTTCGCCCGTGTGATTTTTAGCTTGTGGCCGTTGAGTCAGGTGTTGACAGCGCGATGAGTGGGGACTAAGGTGAACTATGTCACAGAGACAGTCACCACGCCACACAGACTGGGAAGGCAGGATGGGCAGCGAGGATTTGCTCCACTTTGGGGATACCAAACCCTCCTTGAAGAAAAGACTTATTCGCAAGGGCGTTCAGTGGTATCACAGGAGCACGACACGGCGACAGCGGCAGCTAAGAAGTAGGTGCAGTGAATGGAGCAGCTGACGAGGGGCACATGGCAGTCACGCGCCAGTCATACCGCAGGAATTGCTCAAGCGTTGGTTGTCGAAAGCAAAGGTCCAAGGTTCAGTCGAAAAGCTGAGAACTGAATCCTTGCTGAAACAAGTTTGGTCAATTTAGTTGTTGGGAGTTTATTTGACATACGAGGTTTTGCACACAGTAAAGCCATCGGTTTTGACATATGCTGCGGCTGAAGAGTCGCAGCCGAAAGGACTTGCTGGAGACTGAGTGCAAAGTGCGGAGGTTGTGTCAATAAAGCTGCCACCAATGGGATTTGCGAATGAATTTTCATGGTATCCCGGTATCCTCATGAACACTGGCAGATCCCGAGTGAAAGAGGTGCTGAACTGGACAACTGGCATGAACATGGGGCATCTTCTTTGTGATCAGCAAAAGGTTCAACCGTTGGGTTCATAACAAACAGCGGCTGGAACTTGAGACATCACTCTGAGGCGAAGGCCGTCATGTCTGTCCACTCCATCTGCAACGGCCAGATTAGTGGGGACTTTGTTGGCGCGGCTTCCCAGGGCGACATGAGCTTAGCTACAATCAACATGATATGAAGCTCGGTGGAACATAGTCACAAGAATGAGTGCGTCAAGAAGGCCTTTGATTCTTTGCATGTTGGGTAGTGCTTCAATACCAGGCTTTGATTACAGCTTATCAGCCGCACATGGATGGGACCTGCAATTGTCAGTCTGGGTTGGCCCTCCGCGTGCGCGACTGTGTGTGTGTGTGTGTTTTTGTTTGTTTTTGTGTATGTGCCTGTGTGTTTCTGTGTGTCTGCTTGGGCTGTAAATGTGTGGACAAAATGTGTTATCTCGTGTGTGCAAGGTGGGCATGTTCAAGCATCGGTGATGGAGGCTTGCTTGTTCTTTCTGACGTGCTGGAATTTGTGGTCATGGTCGATAAGGCTTGGTCTCAGACAGGCAGCTTTCTGGAGGTCTCTAGTTTGTACTACACACACGAGCATACTCTAGCTGTTTGTCAGCATGTGGCTCTCGTGTGCATGTTGACCATTCTCTTGGCCGTAAAACGGCGGTCGAGCCAACAAATCGTGTTTTCCGTATGATCAAAGCTATGGGTGCCAGAGGCGAAGGAAACAGGTAAAATGGCATGACCACCCCCCCCAAAAAAAAAGCAAAAAACATGAGGAGTGTTGGTTGGTCATGCCATTTTACCTGTTTCCATCAGGCAGTCGTTGGGTGCCCCAATGACTGCCTGTTGGACAGCGCTAATGGACATGCTCCGAGAGCGAACCGCCGCAAACAGCGCGCTGAGGCGTCGAAAGTGGCAGCAGTTTGGAGCTGAGAGTTGGTACGCGGCAAATATCAGGAGAGAGCTGAGGAACCCGTACTAATCTCCCCCTCCACAAAGAGGGAGCTCTTCTAAGAAGGGTCGGTGCTGTCTCCCTAAAATGAAAAGCAACCAAACAAGGCTCATTTGAGCAGCGCCCAACCCCCACTGGCCATTTTAGTGGGTGGTTCTGCACCATAGGGATTATAGTTAGGCGTACATTGCGCCTTTTTAACCAGGTCGGTAGAACCAACCGTGAAACAGTGGGTGCTGCGCATTCCGAAAGATCCCAGTTAGCACCAAGGCTGCGCCTTGCGGGAGCTGCGATGCCATGTTGTCATGGCGGCCCATTGGACATTTGGAGAGCTCAGCCTGGGGCGCCTCGGCAAGGCGTTGCTGTTGGATTTAGCTGAGAATGGAATCTCAGTTGGCTGTGGGTCAAATCCAACGGTACCCTTTTTGGGGTAGGTGCACATGGCCAGTTTGGCTTGTGCCTCTTAGCTGATGTTTGTTTGGCTTTTTATGTTAGTTTGGCACTGGTTTTCGTTCTAGACATATTACTGGTCTGCCATGTGGCCAAAAGGACTCTCAGCCAGGGTGACACTCGCCATCAAGTGCTTCCTAGGTGCCTCAAAGCAGATCCAAGAAAACCAGCAATTTTGAGAGCCTTCAGGAATCACCAGGTGGTTACAGGTTTCACCCCTTGGTCTTGGGAGTGTGTGAACGCCGCTGGCCCGGCCGCACGATATTGCACCAGAGGGACGCAGAGTTCTTGTGACTCTGAGGATGTCTCTCAGAGCACCAACCAGAAGGAGGCCAGACGCAGAAGTGAAGTATTAAAAATGAAAAAAGAACTGGTACTGAAGAGCCCAATGAAGAATGCTCGTGACAACACAGGCTTGTTTCCCATGTTTTGCTGAAATGGTCAAGCGTCAACCTAGTTGCTTGCAGGTTGTGGAATGGCTTGTCACACGTTTCTGGGTACCTCAAAGAATCATCAGGATTCTCATTGCGAACCCTACGGAGTGCCAGCACCAGAGCTTTAGACCACGTCCTGGGTCGCACTGAAAGCAACACCCTATGCGGATGTCTCGAAATGTCATCCTGGTTTCCTCCAAAAGTAGAGCCCGCAAATCGTTTCCCTCGAAAAAAGGCACCCGCATATGCCTCTGTTGTTTTGCTGGATCCCCTCATTCATGCGCATAGACGCCCGATTCGGCTGGCATTTCGAAGGCGAGTCAGCACACGGCTGCTTCTCCCTGGTGTGTAATGCCACGGAGACCTACGAGATACAACTGCCTGGTGTCAACGAAAAGCAGGGCCTCTGCAACGAAAGCTACGACCCTTGGAGCCGAGTTGTGTTCTTAGGGTGTCAGGGAAACGGAAGGAGAGCCACCCCTTCGACATATTTGGCTTTCCGTGTGGGGCCTGGGATTCGTTCAGTACATGTGTTTCAATATTGAAGGAAAACCAAAAGGGGTGTGATCAAAAGCAACCAATATGTTTTAAGAATTGCCCCATAGGAAATCCAAGGGGGGTGGTGCATTCTGGTCCAGTCCCTATTTAATACTCAGTTGGCCAGCTATTTGGAAGGGATGCGCAGTTGAAGGTGGTCTTGCCTGCTTTTGTAGGCTGTCTTTGAAACTGCCTTGACATGTTCCTATTTGCAAGTGTTGTGAGGAGGCTGTCACCTTGAGAACAGCTATGACTATGAGCTTTCACGGGCGGCGACGGGTTCTGGGAGGGATTCCAAGCAGGGAAAGAAGCCGTTGGGAATACAAGAGCCTGAATACTTGGAATTGGGCGGCGGGGTTCTCTCAAACCACATTTCCTCATGACCATGGGAGCATAAAGTTTGTCATCAAATATTTTAGTCCTATGTTTCCCATCCTTTTCGAGGCGCCACCCCTTTGAGAAGAATGGCGTGGCGGAGTTGTTTTCCTTTGCGCCTAGGAATGGATTACCATTAGCGAGGGCGAGTCAGCCATATCGGTGCGTTGCGCACCCTTTGCAGAGGCACGGGTGGGGAGTCACTTCCTTGGTGAAGTGTGATGAGACCATTATTCTGCCTATCTTATCGCGAGCTCGCACCATGGTGTAGGTCCGTTGAATGGAAATCCCTCGTGTTAGGTTGTAGATTTTGCAGATTGTTGAAACAACCTCCGGTTGGTTGGCCTTTCAAATGGACCCAACCTTGCGCCCCCAGGTCTGCGACCGGGGTCATGCACCTCCGTGTTGCTGACGCGGTTTAAGGCATTTTGAGGCTGCGCGCACATGGGCAAACTCGTTGGATGCCACTGGTAAGTGAAATCAAGCCAATTTGGTTGATTTACCACGGATATCCATATGTATTTTCAAGCAAACTGAAATGTTCATCAGAAGGACACCAGTGAATGATGCTGTTGAGGACACGGCAGAGAAACCCTTGTACCAGGGCCTTTCATGAAGGAGTGAATGATGAGTGAGTGCTAGTTGAGGGGACCCACACTTGACTTCTGAGCGCCCTGAGAAACAGTAGTGCCTGAAATGGACATACCTCCTGATGGTTGTCTTGTGGCAAGCTTGGCATACGAAATCAAGCTTGTGCCAGGGATGTCGAAGACATCCTTCTTATGGTGCTGTTGACTGCCGGACGCTCACAGCTTCTGGCCTCGGAAGCATTGTGTGTGCTGATCCTGTCCCGAGTTTGTGGCCCTCACGATCGTGATCGCAGGGATTCTGATGGGCATGCGCCAAGCTCAGGGCAATTCGCTCAAGAGTGGTGTGCCTGTTGCCAGTGGCATCCTGTTTGAGTAACAGCCCGTTCTTCAACTGGCAGCAGTTCAGACCTGTATGAATCTGGGCAATTATCATGCTCCCAATCAAGCAGCAGTGACTGCTGAATGATGATCCTTACACTTCACCAACAAAGCTCCTTGCGTCTCCAGGCGTTGGCACAAGCGCCACCGGAGGCGGCGTGAGCGCGAGCAGCCCACGGTTACCACAAGGCGAGGTCCAGGTTCAACTGTGAAAGATGGCAAAGTAATTGTAATCGATTCGAGCTGCTCGTCTCGTCCATTTTAGAGGTTCTCGCTCCAGGGCCAGGTGTGGGCAAGCTGGGCAGCTGGCAAGAAACGACGTTCATGGACAGCCAAAGCCGTATTTCAGGGCAAGGGACTGGGGCCAGGTGACTCTCCAAGGGCCACAGCTACAGCTGCATTCTACTGAGGATGGCGCTGGGGGTGGACACATGAATGCGTGGCCGGCCATATGGCTTGGCGGTTGCTGCCCTGCCAGAGCTATAGCTTCACAGCCGAGAGCTGAGGAGGGATTGGCTAGGCCTGAAAGCTGGGGCTGGCAAAGTGTCAGGGTGTGGGGCTGGGGCTGGCCGGGGGCCTGAATTGGGCTGCAAAGAAAAATCAGCGAAGCCCGCAGCCAGAGCTACGCCCAACGAACCTAGACCAGGTCAAGCAAGAAGAGGGCGCATGAGGCAGCTGGAAACCCTTGCTCCAAGGCTCGGCTGGGGCTAGAGCGCTGCAGCCGCAGGGCAAGCGCAAG